ATTGCTTCCTATAGCCAATGTTTAAAAAAGTGAAAGTGTTAAAGAAAATATCTTCATGAAACTGAAGCACAAAAGTTGGATAGATTTGGAACACGCGACAAAATGGTCGAATTTTTCTAGAAACGGCATTACGTTGCTAAAGCGAAAGATTTGGATACATTAGACTAGTCAGGATGTATATTATCAGCTTTAATATTATTTTATTTTGTGGGATTTGCAGTGAGACACAAACTCGTACGTCTTTTTCAACAATATATTGCTCGATTCATGATCATTTCACCAATAATACGGCGTTTCTTGGTCATCAATCTTTCAAACGAACCAATTGAGATGTACCAAAGTACGCACTTGTATAGTTAGTTATGGTATCTTCAGATGTACTGATTGCTGGTTGTACTTGGCCTTGTTAGGAGCGAGTATTCTTGGTATAATAAAAAAATGACAACCACAAAAAAAATATTTCACGCTGACTACGTTCTTGGACTACGCTGAACACTCATTCAATTCCACTTTCCTGTTTCTTTGTTCATTTACAGCGATAGACCTATTTCGTCGATATCGGGCATCTTCTAGATATATCAAGTCGCCTAGACCAGGGGTTCTCAAACTTTTGGTGTTGCGGAGCCCTTGAAAGATTGAATATTATTCGCGGAGCCCCACATTAAATGTAAAAGTTGTTACTTTCAGATAAATATTCCTGAGCAAGTTAAATATACTTTACTTATTTTAAATGCTGAACCTTTTTTAATAGGGTTAACACAAGTCATAAATAAATCAAAATTTTATACTAAAGCTGTAAATTTGACACTTGACGAACATATATATTAATAAATTAGGGGTCGAATCTTTCTTTTTTAACATTTTTGGAAGACTTAAAGGCCGCTAATAACGTGCGCGATTTCATTTTGTTACAATCACCGATTTTTTCGTCAGCATGGCGTGTTTCAAACATCTTTACGCCGGTGTTTATTCTCCCTAAATCAAAAATTTCCCTCGGCATATATATACATGTATTGTTACACAATGACGACGTTAATTGCTTCATCGGCGACGAAATGCTAAAAATAATAATTGATAAAGAGGTAAATCCGCAACTCAAGTTTCTTGATTGAAAAGCGGCATTCTAAAATATTAAAACTCAAACTTAAAATGAAAGATCACACGTTTGGTTTCAGCAGACTCACCTCAGACTGAAAAGGCTTTTATAGACATTGTAAATCACAAAATTTGGTGTTATGTTAGGTTTTCATCGTAGTATCTGCGAAATCGAAACACAGTCAATTGTGCGCGCGATGTACCTTTTTTTCCCATTCTGAAACTACCGACGGAGTCGCACGCAATCAATAGTGCGCGCGATCCGCGATGTACCTTTTTTCATTCTGAAACTATCGACGGAGCCGAATGCAATAAAATAAATTTCAATTGTTCGTATTTTGCCCGGACATTGTGATTTTTTAAACACCGATATCTTGCTTAAAAATAATCTTAAGTGCGAAAGAACAAATCAAGTTTGACAAATCTCAAGATCGCAAAAATACGATGATCACAATTACATTATAACGACGAGACACATTAAATGTTCTCATCGGTCATGGATTCATTATTTTACGCAACAGAAATCTCGTTATCCATTTTTTTAATCCCGAAAAATGTTGCGCGGAAATTTTCGATTTCAAATTTGAACCACCTCCCTCTTAAGAATCCTGACTGCGCTCCAGCTTATAAATAATAATTTTCAATTCCGCCTCTTTTCCATATTTCTAGGCTATATTGTTGTTAGATTTTATCAAAGCTGTTATTGCTTCTTTGAACAGTTACAAAATTTTGAGTCAGTATTTTGAAAAGTAATCGAATAGATTTCGATGGCCTATGGCCTTTGATAACCTATGGCCTAGACCTAGACGACGTACTTTGACTTTCTTGATATTTTTTTGTTTAAATTTTTTTTGTGCCATTGTTAACTCCTGTTGGTCGTAATCACGAGTTTTGTTGCTTGTTAACCTGTATTGTGTTTCCGTGCCTCCCTTCATCCTGAAATTCACTTATTTTTACATTCTGTGCGTATAAAGCGTATTTTCTTCATGGCGGGAACATCATTTTTCAATACTGGTTGAATATTTATTGTCGCGAGTGGGCGACAAAGAAAATTTATTATAAAACTGATAACTTCTAACATTTGCCTATCGACTATTGCGCCTAAAATGGCGGCCTTGTGGAACTCAAGAATATTCCCAAAATTTATTTACTTTTTTAAATTTTACCTAAAGTTTTTCTGGGTATTCAAAACCAGAAATCATTTTATTTAAATCTGCGTATAAAATATAGTTATTTTGTTAATATGACGAAGCCAAAGAAATGTCGAATATCTGGATTTTCTTTCACAAAACATCAGTTTTTCGTTTTGTCTGACTTCTTGAGACGTCGGAGTGTTTGTGCGTATTCAGGGGGAGGATAAGGCTTTGTCGACCGCTGAGACTTAGCAATATTTCCGCGGTGTTCGGTTTGTTTCGAAGATTAGGAATTTTAGATACCTTACTAGTCATTTCAGTTAATTGTGATATTGATTCCCGCCTTTTTTAATGGATCACTGTTAACTATCTTTGTCCTATTATGAAGTAACAATGAGTCATCTGTGACGCGTCAGTGGTTAGACAGGACGCCATTTTTATAGTGTCATCATGTGTTTGTTATTTTATCTCGAAATTTAACAGAACTGTACTGTACTATGTTTATTGGTCTCCCAATGGTAAACAATATAAACATGTTGAGAATGATTAATATTGGAGGAGGATTACCACATTCAGTCATTGGGCTAAACACATACCCGTACGGTAGAGGCATATGCATGTATCTGTGTATGTGCAGCATGTACCCTTTGAATAAAATATTTATAATCACATACCGGTACTTTCAATATTGAATAAATAATATAACATAAACTGAAATACAGGACACATGGCTTTGATGGCCTAAGGCAGTTGTGTGACAATCACTCATTGGAACAGAAGTGGTCTTTAGTAATTTCCAGGACTTCTATAGCAAACAGCTTTGCCATACTGAATGCTGGAATGATTGGGTTTCATGTAGTTTCGTACCTAACACACTTCTAATGGGCGTAGCATAACAATTTTTTCACTTGTCAATCCTAACCCCCACCTGACTACGCCATCCAAAAATTACGCCCTTCAAACTATAAGAACTGTCATCCAAGACGCGCTCATCCTGTCATCTGCGCACCCGAAATCGAACAGCTATTTCTCTTGTTTTCTCGTCACGACGACCGCTGACGTTGGTCAGTTCGTCATCGTTGATCGCCGATGCCATTTCGAGTGATTTTACGTATATTTGGCAAGCTCTGTGACGTGATTGTGATATAATAGTTTTTGGAGGGAGTATTCTGTTAGGGGTTAAGATCGACATGTGAACATTTTTTTATGCTATGCCCACTACAGCACTAGAAGTATGTTAGGTACGAAACTACACAAGACCCAAATGATCATGGTGGTATAAAAATTAAATGTCAGGGTATGTTATCACTCAGTACATATCAAATTGAATATATACGATTAAATTGAGAGAATGGTTACATTTGGGTTAATGAATTAAAATTCAAATTTTGTAATTATTCACCAATCTTCAATTATTTAAATTGAGAATAATCTGTGTGGAACCACCACCTCACATGTCAACCTCACTCAAAATAAATTAGGTAGACAATTCTTAACCAGGAAGCTCTGAATCCTTCTAAAATATAATAGTTATCTGTTTGTACAGAGCCTTGTTCAAAGTCGAAGGAGTATGGTGGTATAAATATTACATGTCAGCATTGTCACCACTAAGTACTGCAGTACATATCAAATTGAATTTTCACCATTGACAACATCTCAGCAATATCATTAAACTGAGAGAACCAATATATTTACATTAGGAAATGAATAATCAAATTTTGTAATTATTCAACATTAAAATGATAATTTCTGATAAATGCCGATTCCTGCTTTCTGGCTTTAAAAAAAATTTTACGTTGAAGATTTTCGTTTGAACCAATAAATTTTACAGATTCGCTTCGACTGTTGAAGTCAATTTTGAGTTCTTATTTTTACCACCTCACTAATAGAGTAATAAATTAAGTAAAAAATGCTTAACCGTAAAGCTCCCAATTCTTCCAATATATGAGATTTCTCTGTTTGTGTTCTGTGTATGAGCCTTATTCGAAATCGTAGGCATATATACAGTAGTGGGATCCAGCCAGAAACGTCTGACAAAAAATTTGAATCCCACCACTGCATATATTGATGTTGTATATACAAGGTAGTCCTTGTCCCTTTCATGGAGTGTTGCAGTAATATCATAGACATTTAAAATGAATCCCAAGCGAACATATAAAAATCGTAAAGTAATGCCTTAGCTGTAAACAAACTTAGCTTTACCAAACTGTTCAACAAACAAGATATTTTCTGACAAAGACAGCAAATTTCTACTATTTTGATCACATTCTCTATAAGATCTAATGTTGAAGAGTATTTGTGTTCGCCACTTTTCATTTTCCTGCCTAGGATCAATTTTAAAGCGGGCAGAGTTTTTCAAACTGAGACCATGACTCCCACGGCCACTAGCAAAAGACTCTAATATGTGTCGATGCCATTTGCGATAGACACATTCATTTAAGATGAATGTTTATTCTTTTGCTTTATTGCTGGATTTTTTAACGCAAAAATAACTGATCAATAGTTATTGAAATCAGAACTAAAAAGTTTATGAAAGAGCGAAGGGCTGCACGTAGTGAGAGTATGTGGAGGAGGCTACTAATCATGAAAGTTCGTGAACCAATTTACTGAAGTCTATCCACTCATATTTAGCAGATTAAGTCGAAAATTCAGTCAGAATATTTCTCCTTATCCAATTTATGAGGCGGTGGGCTTGAGATTTTCAGCCAGGACTATATAGTAAATATAAGTTGGAAGAGGTTCAAGATTTTATATTCTTTCTTTTCTTTTGCCAGATTCGTTTGTTTTTAATTCCATCTTGCACTTTATATAATGGAAGAACTCCATTCATGGTGGGAAGTACCAGCCATTGCACACTTTTTCTCTCTTTTTAAAAGTTGTTTTTCACTTTCGGATTTTACCATTGAGGTGGGTGTTTATATTGTTACTTATCGATTTTAATCGGTAAGTGTGTTGTTAGGTATTTGTCTGTCTGTTAGATGCACGCGATATCTCACGAAAGCGGGATTGAATCTGCTCCAAATTTTGCATGTGCATTCATCATATCTTGGACCAGAAGCCTATTGATTTTGGCTGAATTATGTCGTATAATTAGCGAGTTATTAATTAATTAGTGATGGGACACAAGGTGTCACTATGGAGTAAGAGCGCTGTTTTGGGGAATCCCCTAACTTTCAACAATAAGACTTCGGTCTCTGACCGATGTTCTCGTTTATTTCTTGTTATGTGTTAAGAGTTGGTTCTCAAACTTTTCAGCCATTTTTAGATTTTGTCAAGTCTTGCGCCCCACCTCAAATATACCTAGCTAACAATAAACAAGAGATAGCAAGGCAAAAGTATGTTTTATTCAAAAATCATGTTGAAAATGCGTGGATGGAACAAAAATATCCAAAATAAAGAAATGTTGATATCCAAAATAAGGCAAGACCAACGAAATTGTATACGCCCCCTTGTGGAGGTGCGCCCCACCGTTTGAGATCCACTGTGTTAGAGGGTTGAAAGACTCAAAATCGTAGATGGTTTATTTCAGGTGGCAGGAATTTCTGCAAATTTTGTCCAAATTATTCAGACAAAGCATATTTCAAACACATTTATGTTAGGGTGCAGCAGGTCTTAAATCACATAGTCAATATGTCAATAATGTCACCTTATTTAAATTGAAAAAACTTTATTCAGGAACTTGAAGACGGACTGCTTTGTGATGGAACAGATGAAAAATCAACATATTTTATTTCTCGACTTTTATCTGAATTGTTACAGGGTTACTATGACAACACCAATATAACGTAAGTACAGTACGAGTGAGTGCAACTTAAAGCAAATATTTTGTTTCACATATTTAAACATAATATATGTAGCATCATTTTTTCAAGTTTTTCTTATTAGATGGAATATGTCTGGTGAATATATCAACGTATGCAATGACTTACTTGAATATTTCTCAAAAACCATAATATCTCCTTGGTGTTCATACTGATCCTCATGGTGCCTTTGCAGAACCTTGTTGTAAATAAAGGTGCAAAATCATCCCACTGACTTGCTTGTTTAAGCAACATTTCAGGCAGGGATGCCCAAAACTAATTTAGTGTTATAATACATTCTTTGTTTCAGGAATGAATCGTTACATTATGAGCATTTGATTTCTGATGATCGAACAAAAATAGAATTCGTTAACTTCCCATACCATTCTTATATTTTGAGAGAAATCTTAATGAGGAATAGAAGGGAATCTTGGCTATTTTCCACCACAAAATTTATTTTCTATGAATTTACATGAATTCCATGGACATTCGAATGTTTTAGGAATCGTAAATTATTTGTTATTTGATTGTCCATGGTTTTCACGATTGTTTTGCTTTAAACTTAAAATACATTGATCACAGGGTGACAACCTGCCATGATTGGCTTCGACGAATAATGAAGGAACGCTGGGAAGAAATCGAAGGCAGGATTAACCCTTTATCATCAGTTGAAGCAGATTTTCATGAGCTTCCTCTCAGACTCAAGGTTCAGATTATTCATCGGATCACAGAATACAGATTGGACGCTGTGGTGAGTTATCTCACACATTATAAGTTTTTATATGTGGTGTTTAAATGTTTTTATATGTTCTTCAATTCAGACAAGGCTTTGTGAATGCAGATAGTTTTGTGTAGGGGAGCATACTTAGGGTTTGGCATTTCCAACCGAATTTAGCATGCCATTGCTGAGATGATAAGCATGACATGGTATTTAAAGTGTTTGAGCTATGGTACGAAGTCCACCACCTTAATAAATGCTACACCACTGTGCCCACAGGTCATGGTTTGATCATTTGTGTGAACTCTTTACTCAAACGAGGCTTTATTAAATAAGCAACTAATAATACCTGTATAGGTGCTAGGTTTTGGAAGAACCCACACCTAAATTTTGAAAGTTGTGTAGGTAATGCCAAATCCGGTGATGGTTTTCAAGGAACAGCAGTTTCATACAATTCAGTGGCTGTTTGGACAATTCATTGTTCATAGGGGGAAGGCATGGAAATGCGTTGACTATAAAATATCAAACTTGTCATTTCAGGACGTTGAAAACAAACTACAAGGTCTGAATGCTACTGATTTGAGACTAGAACCTCTCGGCTCAGATAAGAACGGAGCGAAATATTGGTATTTCTTTGGAGTGAGGTGAGAGGATTTCTGTGTTTAGTGCAGACATTAAGAATAACTGATGAACACCCTGTGGAGCTGAGTAATTGACCCCAACATGAAATATAAATTTTAAGTCTGGGTGGAAAAAAAAGACTCCCAACTTCCAGGGAAATTAGATTTTGATGACAAAACATGGCATTTGCAAACTTCTCTTTAATAGAATTATAAGAAAAATTAGTGAACCTGCTGGTTTATGAGTTTCTGTTAAAATTTCACTTTCATTATGCCAAACTATGACTCAATCGCCTTGCATGCAAGGATTGAAATATAGTGACCATTTTAATATATTGAGTGTTCAAGTTTTTTTGAATTGTAAAGGGAATTTATCGATACTGAATGATACTTTGTTGGTCCCATAGATATATTGAATGAGGTAAAACTTGAATAAAAACTGTATATCAGATTTATACATAACCATACATAGTTTGTTCGTCCCTACAGATGTATCGAATTATGAAGTAAAACTTAAATAAACACTGAATAAAATAAAGATGCGCAGCTGGCCGAGAATCCCCGCGCAGTACTTTCGTTCTGCCGTGCACTGCATAAGTATTAAAATGTTGTGTTCTTTTCTACTTTTTCTCATTTTCCGTGCAGACCTTTTTTCTGGAGCTTACATGGCCTTCTATTCCGCGCAACTAAGCAAGCTCTTAGAGCAGGGGTCGGCAACCTACGGCTCGGGGCCGGGCCGGGAGTAATATAATCCGGCCCCCGACGCGCCACGGAATTATACTAACAAAACTGCTGTTTTGACGATTATATTCTTTACGTAACAGAATTTATTGTGAGACATGTGTATGGACTAAATTATATTATAATCTAACAAGTATAAAATTCACAATTACTCGTCTAATGAGCCTAAAATTTAATTATAATTAGGCAAAACGCAGAAAAGTTGATGGCGTTGAAAATTTAGATGAAATTTTTTGAGATGCAATGCAATGAGGAAATAAATCTATATTCTATTCGACTGGTTGATTTTTATTATAAAAAGTATCATTTGTTCGGTTTTCAACTTTCTAAAAATATGTGCGGCCCGCGAATGGCTTGTAAATTGTAACCCTTAAATTTGGCCCGCGAGCGACAAAAGGTTGCCGACCTCTGTCTGAGAGGGAACATTGGACGGGACACCTTTATTTTCCTATTGACATCGGTTTATCATATTAATCCACAACAATATAGTATTTGGTTTCGTTCACTCCCAAGTTTAACCTATTTTTGATTCTAATTCACATTTTTATTCAGGCTTTACAAAGAATCCCCAGCTGATGAAGAAGAGAAAAATGTGAGTTTTTGTTTTTGCTTGGGCTCAATGTCTAGCGGTCAAAACGTTAGATTGTGATCTCCTATCTTGGGTTCAAATCCCTATCCCAGCATCCATCCCATCAAGGGTGTAATACTGGCGTTACTGCTGAACCAGTAAGATTCCTTTGAAAATAGTTGATCTTTTCATGTGGTTAGATATCAGTGGAAGATTTTTCCTCATTTCATTATTCGGTGTGAAAGACGCAAATAAATAAAAAATAAAAATGGATAAAAATAAAAAAAATTCCAAATTCTGCATAATGAGCAGACTCAGAGCTGTACAAAATGAATCTGATGAAATTGATACAAAAATTCTCTATTTTTGATTTTGGGAATATTCACATATAAATCACATCTGTGGAATGTAGATTGGCTTGCATGCAAATACCGAAAGAGCACTAGCGAAAAAGCAGTCGCAGCGGTTCCAATTGAATTATTTGGCCGTTCCTGCGTCTAAGTCAGTCTCCCTCTCGCAGATGCCATTTTTATGATATGTGTGAGGCTACTGTTTTGGGAAGGCCAATTTGACATTGCATATCCATATTAATAATTAAGCCCTGGGTAAATTGGATTTTGAATCTGAATATCTTTAACCTACAACTACAACATAGCGAGCCCAAACCACGGGCCCAATGTCACAGTTCAAAGTTTTGATTCAAGTATTTCAATTAAGGTTTTGTGCCTAGTTAATTGGGGATAGAATGTTAATCAATACAATTGTATTTTTCGCTAAAAATTCTTAATTTTCTATAACCATCTTCAATAAACTAAATTGGGCATATTGAAATCAGTTTCCCATAGAGCTCTGCTTTGGTTATTAGGGCCTGCTCTGACCACAATCTTATTCAGAGTGTAAATTGGATCGGTCTGCTCTGCGTAAATTCACCAAGTTTGATTTGTTTTCAGGATAAAATAGAAACCAAAAAAAAGAAGAAAAAGAAAAAACGGAAAAAGCGAAAACTACTGAATGGTGGGTTCTCATCCCATATACTGGAAATTGACTAGTTTTAAAAAAGTAGAGTTATCCTTCAATTGGGTAGGATATACTCGGTACCAGTGGCGTAGACAGGGGAGTGGTTTTGCGGTCGACCCCCCCCCCCCCCCCCTATTTGAAATGTAAAAGAAAAAAATTATTTTTCTGTATCATAGATAGCTATAGTTCGCAGCCTGAAATGTATTTTAGATCCCAACACTACTAAAAACCCGCGTATTCCAGCGTTCGATCGGGCCCGCTAGCTGTTAGGATCTAACGTGGCGAATAAAAATTTCAGAACCCCCCTCTTTAATATTTTGCCCCTGCCGGGTACGATAGGGCTGATGTTGGGGATGCATAATAAATCAGTGAAAACTGAGGATTTAGAGATTCTTCAATAATCATGACTTAAAGTTGTCAGACAGTCTGCTTGTCAAGCAGCATACCAAGTCCAATCACTGTGAAACAGCATTTTCCAGCTGGTGTGGAATTCCTCTTGGGTGGCCTTGCTTTGTTTGAATAAATTACTGTGTGAAATTTTGTTTTATTTATTTCTGTAAATTGTTCTGCCAGGTCTTGGGATTGATCCTCAAAGTAAATGGTCCGTTGCTTGTTATTCTGTCGGGGATTGGAAGAAAACTGCGGCCAGAATGAAAGGAACCGATTCAAGAAGGGAACGAGCTCTCGTGCAACTCATCACAGAAAACTTTCTGCCAAATTTACCAAAAATTGTTGAAGATATGGTATGTGACGCTTGTGTGTGATTGTGCATAATCGATGGCATTTTTTATGTGGCAATTGTATTTTTCTGGTGCTTGTTCAGTGTATGTGGTAGTTCTATATATGTGATTGTTGTATGTGTGTGTACGGTGTGTGTGTATGTGGTTGTTGTGTATGTGTATGTAGTGCTTGTTTATGTTGTGGTTGTGTATCATGTCATTCTTGAAAGCATGTGGTGGCTGTGATTGTAGGGTGTATGTGATCCTTGTCTGTGGTGATATTTGCGATTACTCATCCAGGACACGATTGCATTTTGTATTGTATCAATTCAGACAATTATTGTTTTCCTCACTAGGAGCGCCAAAGACTGTTGAAACTACAATCAGAACCTCGACGTAGCTCTTGTCGATTACTGGCTCGAAAATTATGTGAAGCGGAACAAGAAGCGGTGAGAACGATTGTTTTGAATTTTCGAAACAAGCTATTTTCCGTTAGTTCAATAAGCAGGCATGACCAATAAGCAAAATCTGGTCTATTCCAAATAATTCTAAAACTATTTTCAGATCTGGAAAATTAATACATTCTAAAATCCCACGGAGCATAAATTTTATTTACTTTCTGAAATCCAAGAACTTTATTATAGAGTTAAAGTAATATTATCTCATTAAACCAGATATGAATAAAACAAATGGCATGTCTGATATGATTCAAATTTGTGGCTCCCCTCCAATGTTTCCTCTAATTTTTTGTAGTATGTGTACGCAGAAATTTTGGTGTGTGCGCAACTTTTTTTGAAATGACTAATATTTGTGCAAAATCCAATGAAGAAATTTTGGCGTTCTAACCGTGTAATGGGTGGGCCAACAACAAACTTTCTCAACCTGCTAACCGAGAACATTGTTACATTACATCGAAATACGTCTGTGCGCAGTAAATCTATGCGTGTGCGCAGCCTCTGAAAGCTGTGTGCGCGCACACTTTAAGAGGGAACACTGCTCCCCTTCTTTTGAGCCTAGAGAGTTAATAAACATTACAGTATTCATGCCTATGAATTGTTGTGTACCTTGGCAAGTATTTGAAAGAGAGCAACTAGGCTCCCAATGTTTAAATCCCACAGTGAAATTAAAGTCCCTGAGGCACTCTTTAGTTAGGAGTTAATGAGATAAACCCGCTTCCCAAATTCCCATCTGACAATGAAGACTGAAAATCTTGTGTTATTCTTCGAGTCGGCGCTGATTTAAATAAGTAAAATATATTTTGCCGCCTTGTGATTATTTTATTTTGATAGCCAAATCTATGGTGATCTGTAGTAAAATGCTAGGAACACTTTCGAACCTCGACTCTGATATTCAATTCAAAGGTGTTTTTAGATTCATCTCAAACACTAAGTATGCTAAACCTTGACTTTGCAGCCCTAGATCGGGATAATGCCTTTACTTCCTTGTGTAAATGTTTTTTTGTTCTCTAACTAGGAGAAAAAATGTGCACTGGAGCGTGCAGAAAAAGTTCGAAAAGAAAGAGAAGAGAGAGAACGGACAAGAAGTGACCTCACGACCTTGAGATTGAAGACCGACTTTGAAAAAATGTTGCGACTCGAATTAGAGAGGAAATGGAAAGATGATTCCAACAAGAGAACCAGAGGTTGGTTTATCTAACGTTATGGCGCGGCAGTGTGGCTCATCGTGCTAAGCGTTAGGAATACGCACGCCACCGCACCTCTGATTACCCTGCGTGGGTTCGCAGGTTCGAATCCCATGCGGAGATGGTTATCTGCGAGAGGATTGCTGGACTCCTTGCTGCCGTAGGGTGGTTCATGTAACAGCTGGTCGGTTACGGCTTCCTCCTCCCTCAAGTCGATGGTTCCGAAAAAAACAAATAACTAACTAATCCCATACCCGAGGTTGTATGTATCCAGTGATGTATGAACCTGTTGCGACCCTACAGGTGGCCACGAGACGCGCAAAAAAGCATGGGCCGCAGAGATCTTTTCCAGGATTTTGAGCTTGGTGCCAAGTCATCAACTACTTTATCATTGTAATGTAAATTCATTCGTTCAAGGCGTCAATCAACTGCAGAGGGATTAATATGATAAACCCGACAAAAAAGAAAAAGCTTGATTAAAATTGTGATACAACTTTACAGTCCAGATTTAAAACAGAATTACTTAAAACAATTTTAGATATTTCTTGATAACGAATACCCATCGCCAGGCGCGCAGCCAGGATTTTTGAAAGGGGGGGGTGTCAAAATCGGAAATTACTAATGACGTCTGTAACAGTCACCGCGATCACGCGCTCGTTAATAGAGCCGCCTTTTCAGCTTCTGTCGCGTAAAATATTCAATTCATGACAACTACGAGATTCTAGAATGTCCTTACGTATATATTAATTTTATTGTCCCCAACGCAATTCGCGGTCTCGACTTTCTACGTCAAAAAAAAAACATTACTGTCTTGGACATAAAACAATGAGATAAGCTGCCTGATATATTTAATTTTGATACGTATTTTTGCAATCTTGTGACCTCGTTATCGCCGTTAGTAAAATCTCGATATCTGATATAAAATCACGTTTAGTACAATTTTACTTCATACAATGAAAATAGATATAAAGTATACCAGTAAATCAAAAATACAAATTCACCGCCTCGAAATCCACGCCGAACAGTCGCGCGATTACGTCACTTGTTAAAAGAGCCGACTTTTCTAACGAAAAATGATTTTTCTCTTGCGCAAGGTAACCAATCCATGACCGATAAGGGCATATTTAAAATGTCCTGCTTTATTAATTTAATTGTCTTCAATTTAACCTGCGGTTGCGCTGACAAAACAAGAGCCACTCTAAAACACCACGGAATTCCGCATAAAAATGTGTGGTAAACTGCCCTATTATATATTGTTTCGATCCGTATTTTTTCTATTTTGCGAATTCGACAAATTTGAGATGTGCTTGTAACATTGACTCCGTTCAATCGCAATGCTGCCATCCCGATTATTTTTAAAGATAAAAGCTTTCGAAAAATCCGTAAATCTGCTGTAAATTCTCATGGAGTAAAATTTATTTCAGTAGAATAAAAATTGATGGATATACTTCAGATTAATTATCTTATATATCATCACTAACAGGGAAAAAAATTGCGTTTTTCACCTTGTTCAATGATAACACTAAAAATTTCGAAGACAATTTTAAAGTAATGGATCCCACCCACAATTACGGTAACCGTGTTTAAATTTTAATGGCGGTATGTTCCTAAACAGCGAGGAAACATAATGTGTGCCGTGGGCACACGAAATTTTGCGATTTTCAAAAGCGTTTTTATATTAGAAAACCGTTTTTAGTCTGTCGCGGGACTCAACAAATCTTATAGCCTATTGTTTACGGTTTTGTTTTCAGTATTTTATATTGTCGATTTTCAGTCAAATTCAGATCGCGAGTTTACTCCTTCATTTGTCTTTAGAACCTCGCCGCCGATGAACGTATAATAACTCTCACCGAATTCACAATTCCTTGCAAAGTACAAAAATAAAATAATCATCATGTTTATCGTGGCACAAATTTGTGATTTAGAGAGAATAAATACCGACGTAAAGGCGTTTACGGCCTAAATAACACACTGATGAAAACAATCGGCGATTTTAACAGAAGGCAATTGCACGCTTTTTCAGTTTTCACAATTCCGTGTGAGTACAAAAATAAAATAATTATAATTGTTCCCGTGGCACAAATTTGTGATTTAGAGAGAATAAATACCAACGAGAAAGCGTTTACGGCCTGGATAACACGCCGCCTTGATGAAAACATACGGCGATTTTAGCAGAAAGCAATTGCACGCGTTATCGGCGACTTTTTCTGTTTTCAAAAAAATTCAAAAGGGGGGGGTTTCGACCCCGAAACCCCCCCCCCTGGCTGCGCCACTGCCCATCGCTAAATAATCGATAAATCAAACTGTTGGCCGTATTTTCAACCAGTTACTGCGTTTTTCTCCGTGTTTTTTTTTAATGCACACCTAGAAGCATATCGGGTGCCCGACATTGCATTATATTACGCAAATATATGTTATTCGTTTCTGTTATCTCAATTTTTTGCCGGTCCGCCAACACATTTAATTTAATTTTATCGGTCCGCCAGGGTAAAAAGGTTGGGAAACACTGCTGTATATCACTATCAAATGTTACATTCATATATAATGAGTTAGGTGTTACACATCATTATATGCCATTTAGTGTGGAACTAATGAGGAACCTGAAAAGGTAACAAGCATTGTCCCAGGGCTGAAGGTCAATCTGCCGAGTCCACCAGCATATTACGTGATGAAGCCATTGTTATTCATTTTCATCATTATGTTCAATTGGTTCTCTGTTGTTTATTTTTTATCCATGACTCCTTAAAGTTCACTCACTTCAACAGTTGGCAAATTCTGACAAGCTCACAGACACTTCTCTGATTGACTCTGATTTTTTTTTTCTTCAGAACTTGCAGAAAAATCTCAATATTCAAGCAGTGGAGAGGATGATGACATTATGCTGTTCGACCAACAATTGACGGAAACATCGCCCGTGACCACCACATCAACAAATCTTGGAAAAAGGAAAGTAAAGACAAACGATTCAACAAAAAATGGAAAGAAACAGAAATTAATGTTAGTATTTTCACTCAGGGATGGAATTTGTTCTTTTTAGGGGATGTATACTTTTCCTTTTTCCTTTTTACTTATCGATCTTAATTGGTAAGTATGTTGATGGACAAGGTATTCATATGTTTGTTTGTTTGTCTGTCTGTCTGTCTGTTAGACACTCTCGTATGTTACGCGATATCTCACGAACGTAGGGTTGAATCTTCTCCAAATTTGGCATGTGCATTCATCATATCTTAGACCAGAAGCATATTGATTTTGGATGAATTATGTCGTATAATTCTCGAGTTATTAATTAATTAGTGATGGTCACATGGTGACGCTATGGAGTCAGAGCGGATGAATCGAAACCGCAGTTTCTGTTTTGGGGGATCCCCTAACTTTCGATCGATAAGTAGTCTGTCTCCGAAAGATATTCTCGTCTTAGTGTTATTGCGTTACTTATTGATGAACACATTAGGAACTATTCTGAACTATACAAAAGCCAAAGTGCGAATTTCATGTAAGACATTCTAAAATTCCATTAAAGATTGAACAAATAACAGAAATAGGATTTGTGCATTGTTAGGAGGGAATAAATAAACCCGAATTGCGAGGGGAATAACTTATTGAAGAAGTTGGGAACTGCTGTGTTAGGATAACCAGCCATTACCAGAGTGTTAGTTTTCTCAACTCTTCGACCAGAAGCGTACTCGGGTATTGTAGTCAGAGTCTGTGTTCATACAAAAATATCTGAATCTCAGTTTTTCCATTCACTACTGTTTTGCCAAATTTTGGGCCATTGTATGCTCTGTAGGAAACTCTCAATTTTTTCCCTTTACTGAACCTGTGATTGGTATCCGTCTCTGCAATTTTTTCGTCAAAATAGGAGCATTACCGTATTTAATATACAAATACGCAGAATAAGCAGTACTCCCTCAGTGTGAAGGCCATAATATTATTCTGATTTTCTTTATTTTAGTTCTATTACGATCTTGGGGACTGTCTGTGTTAGCCAAGTGAATATCCCCCTGCCAATAGGTTTCAGTCCCTTTACACAACTTTATGTAAAATAGAAGAACAAAATTTGTTACTACCTCTATATTGGTACACATACTTTGGAGCACCCAGAAACAATGGAGTATTTACCAATCTGTAATATTTATTCAGGAAGAAATCAGAACGACGAAAGGCAGAACTAAAGAAAAGCAAGAAAAAACTTGAATCGCTAGCACCATCTAGTGTCAACGGGAGAAGGAGATCAAGTACGAGCACAGGTTTGTTGCTCACTTGTTTACATGACGCATATATAAGACTTCTGCTCTAAACAAGGCTTTGCACAAGTGGGCAGGAACTGCTATGGACCTTCCCCGAGCATCGACTTCCTTACTTCATGACATTGGCCAATCAGCAAGATGCAAAAAGTGTTTTGCATCCGTTCAGACACTTTTTTCACTCGGACATATTTTCAGGCGTGGTCGTAAACATTACCTCGTTTTCGCGTTTTTGAACTCTATTCGCCAGTTTCCAGTTGTGTTAAATATAAATCAGATAATTCAATAATCACTCCGTCTTCTTAGGAGTTATAATTTAATTGCAGTAAAAAAAAATTAGTATAGAAATAGCTGTGATTAGCGTGATAGACTGGACTAACATTCTTTATCGGTACTTTAGGAGGAATTTTTCGGTGGTCAAAGGTTGGGGAAAGGTCCATAGCTTGGTAAGACAGGTTTAAATCCGAGATGTTCACTTGTGATGCCTCCATAGCTTCAAAGCTGGCCCCAAGTATTTCACACTTGGTTCTGAATAAGACTTTCACTAAAAAGACACTTCAGCATTGAGATATCTTTGATTTAACCGTTGCTACAAGCAATGTTCTGTAAAAGCAGATACTGGTATGTAAGGGGACCTTTTAAAGCAGTTGTTCTCGGCCTTTTTTGTGCTGCAACCACCTTTGGGTATTTTCTAACATGCTGGGACTCCTTTCACGTTAAATGCTGAATTAAAATTTAAATTGGTCGGTCCTACAAAAGGAAGGATATTAAGCTTAAATGTGTTTCTCCTGCATTTTTAAATTACCCCGAGTAAATTTACAATGAGATGCACACACATTCCGTAAACAATACGATCTGATTTACGGTCCCACGTTCACCAACGTTTGTTACGTAATAATGTCTTGATAGCGCATCATGCTTTGGAGAAACACAGTAAAAGCATGACATCAAAATTTTACTTCAGATCAAATTACTTCTGTGCCGAGTTGTCTGGCGTTCCCCCTAAAATCGCTTCGCGGACCCCTAAGTGACCGCGAACCCCAGTTTGAGAACCAATGGTCTACTCAATGGTGTTTGGCACGGAGTTGTTTGCTGCGTTCGTTTGAGCGAGCTTCAGCTATGAGTCATCAAAAATGTTACAGAAGTGAGGCTCTGCTTCAAAACGCTTTTTTTTCATTTCAGGGTCATCGTGGCGGAAAAAACCATCCACCGGGTGGGGTAGCAGGAAAAGGCATAGCGTTGATTCAACGTCAAGAGATTCTGATGACGATGAGGCTTCGAGTGAAAATGATGAGATTGATCAGATTGCCATGAGAAAGGTAGTTAGGAGAGCATGTACCAGGGTTCTATCAGTTATCTCAATAATAACTTGCTAATTATAGGACATAATTCATCCAAAATCAATAGGCTTCTGGTCCGAGATATAATGAATGCACAAGCAAAATTTGGAGCAGATTCAACCTTGCTTTCGTGAGATATCGCGTGCATCTAACAGACAAACTGACAAACGACAGACAGACAAACAGACAAATACCTATCAACATACTTACCGATCAAAATTGATAAGTGAAAAGCCAACTAACAAATCAATAAGAATAAATTCATTATAGTAACGGAATTAAACAAATCACTCAAAATTAATATAGTCCTCACATACTTCGTAATAAATTTTGGTCGCGGCCCAAAGAATTTGAAAACAAAAAATTTCTTCCACAAACAGATACTTTCACTTCATGACCTAAAACAGGGGTTCCCAAGCTTTTATCAGGACGACCCCAAAGACAACTTTCAAATGTAGCTGCTTTCACTGGACTGTTGCATTTGGTCATGTGGTGGTATTAAACAAAATAAGCTAAAACCCAACAGTGACGTCACAATAAGCTCCTACATTTTCTATAGCATAAGCATAGAGCGATGCCTATAAGCCTGTTTTATAGTAAGCCATGGTACAAACTGCTAAATTTAACATGGTTTGTCAAATCTCAGATGTTCTGTACATCCATCCTCCACCATACTTCAGCGACCCCACCGGCCCCATGACCTGTTTGCGACTCTACCTACTTATCACTCCGACCCAATCTGGGGTCGCGACCCCTGGTTTGGGAACCCCTGACCTAAAATGAGAATTACTACCCACTGCCTAAAAGCATTATCATCATTCATTGCTGCAACAATCCAAGTTTAACTAATTTATCAATAACTTAGCTAATAGGTTTGTGGCCCGCCTGGAAATGAAAAAGGTTCCTGTGGCCCTGAAATGGCCCACTGTTGAGAAGCGGTGATTTAGTTTCTTTGGCAAGACAGGGATATCAGTGTTTCTGTTCCTAGGCCTCTCTTTTTAGTAATTTTGCTCTTTTGAGAATCTCAGCAAGGATTGTGTGCCAGAATTTGGAGTTTTATGCGAGTCATATTCCAGGCATCATATTTTCAATCATCAATATGATTTCAAGCTTATTTGAAGTTTTGTCAACTTTTCTGATTTTCTTACTGTATGTTTGTCTTGTGTATTGTTGTTTCTTTATAATATGTCGGAAAGCAGAACAAATTATCTTATCTTTTATATGATTGTCTCATCTTATCCGATAACTTTTTTTTTTCAGATCATATCTGAAGTCCAAGAACATCCAGATGCCTGGCAGTTTGAATCACCAGTAGATGAGGAGATCGCACCAGGGTATCACTCTATTATCAAGAGGCCTATGGATTTATCAGAGATTGAACGTAAACTCGGGTCGGGGGAGTACGAATCATCGCAAGATTTCATGTCTGACGTTATGTTGATGTTCAACAACTGTCGATTGTATAACGGTCCTGAGAGTGGTGAGTTACTGTGCAGTTTATACTGTCCAATTACCTAAAATCTATGTTTTATTTCCACGCTTGTTCATGCTTTAAACAAGGCCCCGTACAAGCAGCCAATAGCTTGTTACTATGCCAACTGCATATAAAAAGCTCCCGACTTTGGTCAAGTATGGCATTGCCTATGCTCTCACGACACCCTGGGTCTGACACTTTATCTGATGGGCCCACTATGCTATGTTTACGAAGAAAGTTGACCGAGTAACTTACATCAGTGTGATGCCATAACCCAGGGGTGTGCAACCTGCGGCACGTGGGCCAAATGCGGCCCGCGGAGAGATGCTGATTTTAAATTGTGTGTGACACGCGCAACGAGTTTTCAGTTTAGTTTTATCTGGTATGTGCGGGTAATTCCAATCTCTCACAATGCCCTACAGCTAGCTTGTGCGAAGCGAACAACGCATGTTAAAAGATCGATACCCAGAAAGCCTATTTTAGTAAAAGGGCAGCCCGCGGTTTCACCCAGTTAATTGTAACCCCCCTGTATAACCCTGCTTTGACCCTTTCAAAAACAGTATCTAGTAAAGTGTAAGAGTGTAATAAATTGGTTAGGAAATATCAAACTGAAACAGTTAATGTTCCGTATGCCATTGCTGCTTACTTATCAGTGGCAGCTTGTCTGAAGACTTAAGTTTTGATAATCAGAAGTTCCTTAGGTATCGATAGTTCGTTATACAGAGCAGGAAATGAGAAGGTCAGATGAGATCACTGATAAAATGTGTGCTTACTCATTTCTTTATTGATTCCTTTTTATTTCTTTTAAGTTCTAGGTTATTTTATGTTGATACCTTTTCAGGTTTTATTTGACTTCTGTAGTATTCTGTGTAATATAAGATATGCCTTCTCAAAACTCTGTAAAATTTATTCGGACCTCCCAAAGTATGCGCACCAAGATGGCGCACAACCGGAACTCAGGTTGTGTACCAGGTTAGGGTTCTGGTTGTGCGACATCTTGGTGCGCATACTTCAGGAGTATCATTTATTTTTTGTAAAATTAAATATCTACTTGACAAATTTTCTGTTTTTCTAGCGACCACCCTGTGTCAGTGTCTCGAACCTTTTCTGTAACACAAATCAAAATGATTGAACTATATTTATGTTTAGAATACACTGTAGCAACTGATGAAATTGATCAACTTTTCCGAGGTTTGGTGAAGAAACATCTCCCCCATGTGACTGTGGATGACAGCGTTATTCTTAAACCGGTTCATTCAGGTTTGTACTTGTTTTTGTTAGATCAGAAGACTCCATAGGTGTATTCCCAAGTGTATTTCATTGAGAATCATTTTGATAAAGATTCAGCTCTGATAAATAAATATTCTGTAAGCTGTAATATGAGCTCCATTCAGTTCAAATTGAATATGGCAAGCTTGTTTATATTTCAATTATCATTCCAATAACACAATGAATGCACACAGACCTAATATGATGAAAGTTATTAATGATTCGACGGTTTTATTGCAAAAGGGCAAAACTTGAGCAAATTAGGAAAACGTATGTTCTCGATTTTTTAACGTTTGCATTGAAGCCGAATACTTTGTTGAACATTGCTTCAAACATTGATTAGATCAGAGGTTGATGAGAGGAAGTCGAGAATTAAAAAGGTGAAGTTGTAGGGACATTCAGTATGCCATGATTGTGTATGCATTATTCCATGACTTCATGTTTTATTTCCCCCAATTCGTTCAGAAATACTTGTGGCTATTTTGGTGATTCAGCTCCATGTTGAACAAAAATAATTATCTCAATCTAGACCAGAGGTTCCCAAACCGCGGGCCAAATCCGGCCCGAATAACGATTTAAAATGGCCCCCTGAGCTCAGATGCAATAGTGTTCAACAGATTTTGTTTGCGTTCTAGTGTGTTACGTGATTATCACAGTTTGGTTATGTGTTTATTGTAACAATTCGCTAAATCATACGAACCGGTATTAGGATTACATAGGGCAGTAATTTAGTTATCAACCACATAAGAAAGCTTAGAGATATCAAAACACAAACGAAAACTAGACTCTGTAAACAGACATTTTTTGGCAACCGCACACACTTTCGGGCGCTACACTTATCCGGCCCTCTAACATCCCCCGATTCTAATTTTGGCCCGCTGCTAATAAAGTCTGGGAACCCCTGATCTAGACCCTCGTTTGAAAAATCTAAATGACGCCATTGCGGTGACGATCTTCTAATAATTATGGAAATTCATTTTTCTCTCCCAGATAAAAATCATTCAACGGGTTCAATATTCCTGCAATTCGTCCTTATGTCTTGGAACCAGAGTGGTTTTTCACTTTGCATTGAAAATTGAGCTGATGAAAATTTTTTTTTTCAGAATCTTTGAGGAAAACTCGACGCGAAAGTGAAGTTGAAGGGTCCGTGCAATCCGATGATGATGAGAATGAAGACTCGACCACGGCTGGGGCAACCACTAGGGCGGCGTGGAAGAGCAACGTAGTTTCGCAAACTGTTGAAGATAAAAAAACAGTTGTAGAAAAAGTGAGAGGCCGTGGGAGGGGGCGTGGCAGAGGACGTGGTCGAGGAAGAGGCCGTGGACAAATTGTCAGTCAACCGAATAATATAGGCAGACCAGTTGGTCGTCCAAGAGGTCGGGGTAGGGGCAGGGGGTTGAAGGGTAGAGGTCGAAGGTTAAGTCGGCGTCTTAGTGCACAACGTGAACATAATATCACTGAAAAGAAAATGTCAGATGATGAAAATGGAGAGGATGAACATTCTGAAGACAATGAACCAACTAATGAAAACGTGGAACCGTCACGACCTTCAGATGACTTTGATAAGGAAAAAGAGTCCGCAGATGTTGTCAACGAACTTAAACCTGAAACAAAAACTTCACGGCGTTCTTCATCTTCGAGTTCACGTAATTCCTCACCTGATAGAAATGATACTAAAACTGAAGAAAACTCCTCGGAAACTAAATCTAAACCCCAGAACGTTTGGTCGTTGGATTTCTTGGCTTCTCAGGCTAGAGTTCTGGAGGAACAACAAGAAAGACAGCGACCAACCAGGGGAGACCAGGGTTCAGAAAGAGGCTTGACGCCCAAGAATAATAAAAATAAACATGATGATGTCATAGAGAAGGTTGATGATGTCATAACAAAACCTGATGAGGTCATAACTGATGATGCAAAAATAGAGCAACTGAAAGAGAAAAAAGCAGCAAGTCCAAGAAAGAAAGTCGATAACGTAGCCGATGATGACATTTATAGTTTCCGAGATGACGAGGATTCATCTGTGACAGAGAATCGTTTTAAACGTGCAGGACGTGAGAGTGTTATCAGTAGTACAGGAGTTGCTTCACCTCCTCAGGCTTTCCCAATGACACCCGCACCTCTATATCCTATGACTCCCGGTTATCCACAAGAGTCTCATAAATTCCAATCCCCTACGAGACCCCCAAAACGTCGTTCTATTGACTCTGTTTCCCCCCCAACGCCATCATCAGGCTATGGAAGCTATAACGCTACAGGAAGGTCATCTACCCCTAGTGAGGGAATCCCCACTTTCAACCCCCCAACTCCAAGAGTCGAATCCAGCCCAGACAAACCTTTAGACCGATCTGGCAATGTTCCTTCAGAAACTGTTCCGAGAAGGCAGAGTTTCCATAGCGATAATTTACCTCAATCCACTGATCGTCCACCTACTCCCCCCAATGCAAAAACTCTTGAATCCGTAAGTCCTGCTCTTACAGCTTCTAAATTAGACGAACCTCCGACCTATGAAAAGTCGAAAGATACTGTTGTGAAGCCAAGGCCGTTTAGGTGGGTTTTATTTGTTTATCAGGATTTGCTCTTCTCTGTTTTTATCATCTCAATTCCATTTCTAACTTCTTTCCTGCATTTATTTCAAATCTAATTTAGAATAATAAATAATTCAGTAGTTAGTAATTTATCACTTTATTTATTATTATTCTCAGGGCTGTTTCGTCACATGATGGTGTCACACCCTCAACACACCCACTCATCACGCCCTCAACACACCCACTCATCACGCCCTCAACACACCCACTCATCGCGCCCTCAACACACCCACTCATGGAATCGAGGCCTCGTCCATTGTCAATTGACTCATTGCCACGGCAACATAGTACAGAAGGTGATAGTGCGGATCATAGCAGACGTTCTATGGATCATGATAGCAAACCCCGACCCCACCAAGTGTCCAAGCATCAGACGATACATCACCCCCTTCCTATCACTGCTCATGCGACTCTTAAAATCCACAAACCTCCCCCTCTACCTAGCTCATCCGCATCTTCAGTTGTGCGACCCCAACATCCAGTACAAAGATCGCAGAGTAACCCTACTCCCTACCCTCCCCCACCTAGACCATCTATCCCTTCAGCCCCAATCCGACCCCAAGCCACTATATCGCGGCCCCCTGTTGAACCTCCTCGTACTGAATCACGCCCACATGCCCCGGCCACACGCTCGATACCTACCAACAGTAGTAATGTGCGTCCCCAGATAAACAACACGCGCCCTCCAGTGTCAAGACCTCAGCCGGCCACTCAATCATCTACAACACCGAGGGGAATTCCCCCACGATCTGCTCCGATTTCTACGTCATCTCGACCCCCAAATGTGTCTGTCACAAAGGGTCAGGTCACATCCCGGAATAGCCCCAGGGCTTATCCTGATTACGGAGGGATTAGTGCTGCTGAACGATATTCACATTCAACAGACAGAGGTTTGGACATTTTCTGTGCCTGTTAATTAGATGCTGGGTACATTGACAGAAGACCTTCAATAAGCTTCATAATATAAAATGCATAGGCTATTGAATGCCCACAATTATATTCAGTTCACTCCTTCGCTAGAAAAAATCTCGTACCAAATGTGGTGCGAACTTTGTCTGACTTCTAGTCTAACATGCCATCATGAATCAGCTTTTGTTTAAGACTCTGAACCATGGAAGAGAATATTAATTTCTCACATATTTACGATTTCTTATCGCAGGTTATGATCGACCAACCTTGTACAGCGGACATTCAACGTCTGAAACCAATAATTTGCCAAGCCAACAACAGCGTAAGTTTTAAAGATTTTGGTTTTTAGAGGGGCAGTATTAAAAATTATTGGGTATTTTTAGAAATAAATCATTGTTTGTGTGTTTTCTTTATTTTGTTTGATTTGAGGAGGTCGTGAATTAAAGAAGATGTTTTAGGGGGCATTCAGTAGGCTTCAAGCATGTTTGCATTGCTTCAAGAATTAATGATTTTCCCCGATCTAGCTTACATATAATATACTATTGGCCATCATGGTGATTCAGTCCCATGTTGAACAAAAATAATTATCTTATTCTAGACCAATGGTTCCCGAAGTGGCGCCGCGGACCTTTTGGGGTCTGTGAAGCACTTTCGGAGAGTCCACAAAATCTGTTGTATGGCTCATAGCTTGATAAAACAAAAATTAAGCGCTTAAATTTGCACGTACACATTTGTTGCATTTTGCTGCTTCGCAATCATCGTTGGAAACACTGATTCTTCACTTTCTGTTCGAATCACTCTGCTCATTGTGATGTCACAGAGCTGTGGGCCTGTGATATCACAGAGAGAATTCAATGCAGATTAGTTGCTGTTGCTAAATGCTGATTTACAACGAAAGCAAGCGGTCCGTCATGGAGGGTTTTTGAAAAAGTTTGAGATTTCTAAATGGCGCCATTGCGGTGAAGATTTTTAAAAATTATGAAAATTTGTTTCTTTTTCAGATAAAAATCATTCAACAGGTTCAACTCCAATACATAACCCAACAATGGCAAGTCTTGGACTCAACTGGGGGATAGGTGGCAGTACAGAGCCACGTCAGGAGCCAAGAAAAACTTCATTGCAAGGTGTGTAAGCTTTTTGTGCAGTATGAGCATTTTTAAGGACATTTCTTTCTCAGAAGTAATGGGGACTCATTTCTGAGCAAAGTTACGGGCACTCACTCAGAAGTGAAGGAGACTCATTCCTGACAAAGTTACGGGCACTCACTCAGAAGTGAAGGAGACTCATTCCTGACAAAGTTACGGGCACTCACTCAGAAGTAATGGAGACTCATCTCTGACAAAGTTACGGGCACTCACTCAGAAGTAATGAAGACTCATTTCTGAGCAAAGTTACAGACGACCGCTATAATACCAAAAAAACATTGAGACTATAAAATATCATAGAATAGAGTTGTGCATCAGTTTATACTGATGAACGTGATACTTGTAGCATTCCAGGAATATGGAACAATAGAAAAACAGCCACGAGGGTGGTGATTTGTACATAACTGAAGTTTTCGGAAATAACTGGGTGTAAAGTTTTGATACGATTAGGAAAAGACTTGGTATAATACAAGTCCTGAATTCGTCAATGCATTGACCATGGTTTTCTATTTGTATTCCCCTGGTTTTGGCTTTCAACAGTGACTGTCCTTAAAAAGATAATTACTTCATGTTTCATGCTTATCGTGTCAGTTGTAACTATTTTCTTGCAAATGAATATTCTTATCAGTTCTTGAAATGACTTTCTAATCTCAAAACTATTTTGTCTAGCGGGGGTTCATCAAGTTTGGTTTGAACTATGACATAGATCATGTTCTTTATATTTGGCAACAGAATATTTGAATAACCATGATGTCTTGTACTTCTATAGTCTTAAAACTATTTTGACCTTTCACCTTAGGTCGAAGTTCACTTCCGTCCTCCACAGCATCTGTTGCTCAACATGAAGCGGCCGTAAGATCTCGGCAACGTAGCAAGCAAACCCCGCCCTCAACAACGATGTCATCTGGGAGGGTTACAGGTGTGTGATTACTGTGTAAAGGGGGGAACTCATTTAGGCTTTTGTTTTCTAGGGTCTTATCTTAACTCTACTTATGTAGTAAAAAGAACAAAATTTTATAAGATATCGCAACCATGATTTACGATAGCTAAATAAAACAAGACTCTTTCTGTTATAGGTCGACACTCGGTGGCGCAATATCCACCTGATTACATGGGTTATCACTTCCCGTCTCATCACTCACCGTCACCGCATGATTTTTCATCGCAACAGAATGGCCTGCTCTCTGCTGCCACCAATCCTTCATTGCTTCACACTGATCTAACGGCATCCGCAACTTTAAGGTAAAAACACATAGTCAATTAAAGTTTGAGTTTGTATACAATTTCATATGAAGGAGGAAGAAGGAAAAGCCTACTGCCTAATCTTGTTCAGTTTCCAGGCTATTCCAGGCCAGTTGTGAAATATACATTTCATGTACATCTTCTTTGATGGACTGGTGGGCAACCTTTTTTGGCACGTGTGCCAAAATCGACTAAATTTGATGACAAAATTTTTCTGCATGCTGACCGAAATTGTCCAGATCTCAATCAGTTGTGGCGCATAATATATTTCTTTGTAGCCATGTGTCATGAAAGGACAAAAAGAGTTCAAATAAATATCGGATTGCTAACGAACAATAATGAATAAACGGACACAGAGTTTCTTCAGATAAGAGTCTTAAAACTCTTGTAAAGGAGAATTATCTCGTTTTGGAGGCCTCACTTGCGTGCCAAGTTTGTGTACCAGCTTAGGGTTAGGCCATAATTTATTATGATTTTCCTTATTTTAGTTCTATTACGAGTTTGGGGACTGTCTGTGTTAGCTAAGTGAATATACTCTCTATCCATAGGTTTCAGTTCCTTTACACAACTTGATGTAAATTAGGCAAACAAATTTAGTTACCTCCATATTGGTACACATACTTCTGGAGTGCTAATTTCCTAACTTGACCTGATCTGGGAATAGAATTCTCTTTTTCGAGTTTTATAAAATATCCTACATTTATAAACAATATCACTGTTAGAGAAAGCATGGTTGGAACCCATATTAAGCATGTTGACTTTGTGGTTAAAGCATAGCTGTGCAAGCATCATAGATCAGGGCTACTCAACTATTTTTATCGAAGATTCCCATACAAAACTGCAAAGTTATTTGGGTCTGGTCTCTCCAGAAATTATATTTCGGCATCCTTAAACGCGTACTTCCTCGACCGGCTAATGATTATTAGATAAGCAAGATTGTTTATTATAGTTCTTTTCATATGTATTCAAAACTATAAAAGTCATTTTATAAAATAAAATTTCAAAAAGGATCCAAAATAGAGAATTAGGTGCAGTCCGAATCAAATACTCGAAAGGTCCGGATTCGGACTGCGGGGCACCAGGTGAGTAGCCCTGTCATAGATTATGCATCTCTGATTTAGGCCCCATATCCACCTTACTTGGGTTACTTAATAGTTCACATATCCTTATCTGTGGCTGTCTATACAGAGCCTCGATCAGTGAAAAAATTCGAATAAGCAATGTATATAAAAATTGGTTCTAGAGAAATTCACTGTAGGAAATCTCCCCTCACAGGAAATTTCGCTCCACAGGAAAAATTGCCGCAAAAGTATTTCGCTGTAAAACAAGTATTTGTGATAAAAACAGTTAGGTTTTGAAATACCTTTTATTTAAAAAAGATTCGTTATTTAAGATCATACTCTAACCCTATAAACCTAATTGTTTTTATCACAAATATTTTTTTACAGAAAAATGCTCTTGTGGCGATTTTCATGCTGGCACGCATACTTGTTTTATAGCAAAATGCTCTTGCAACGAATTTTTCTATTCGTCAAAATTCTGCAGCGATATTTTGTGCGGAAAAATTTAATGTGGCGAGTTCTTCGGACACGATAAAAATTATTTTTTGTTCAATGCTAAAACAACCTTAAATTCAGGGTCTTACAACAACAACAGCAACACAAACCAACAGATATTCAGTCTCATGCAGCAGCCGCAGCCCACGCCAGTCATGCAAGTATGTTCCTCCAGGCTGGCGGCCACTACCCTGCTGCACCTACACATACTGATCAGTACAACAGGCTCGCTACTGGTAAGTTGTTTTTCATTGCAATAATCTTCTGTGGTAACGTCACTTAATTCATCAATTTGCGGCAAAGGAAGTGCTGTTTGCTCGTACTGATGTTAACCATGCATTTTCACAACTTTTTATCGAACTAGGTCTTTCACAAGAGCCACTAATACAGTGAAGGAATTTTGGGAAAATTTTTGAATTTACAGGTTCAGAATTTCCAACTTTCCATGTTGATAATCAAACTCATTTTCCTGCAGGAATTCGAAATATTGAGTTAAATAAGCATTTCTAACAGTCTACTGAAAAGGCTTGCATACATTAAAGTCTTTGTTATCAAATTCGAAATTGGAGACAAATTTTTTTCAACCAAAGTTGGTAGTTCATTTCAATTCCTCCCCCCTGGAATCTTATATTTGTCTGATTTCCACCATTCAGCATTAAAATGTAATCAAGGTCAATGAAACTAAAACGCCCATTTCGGAATTTTTTTCAATTTTTTTTTTTTTATTCAGCTGCAGCAGCTCAACAGCACCCCCTAGGGATGTACCATCAGCCAACGAACGCAGCTCAGAATCCATGGTTGCAGTTACATCCATCACAAATGGATTCCGTTTATCAGCTAATGCAACAACACGGGCAGTATCCGATCGGATATCATAACATATTGCATAAGTACTAGTTGAGGCTCAGCATGATAGAGATGATCATATGCAGGGATGTCCAGATCGAATCATCATTCAAAAATTAATTATGTCGGTTATAACATTCTTGAATTAAAGATATTCTGGTTTGAAATTGGTAATTCCTTGCAATTGAAATATCTGATAAACCGTCAAGATTTCACAAAATCGCTCCTGATATATAAATCTTTGTCCAACATAATCTGTTTTTCTTTGCCAATTTGACATGGATTTCGAATTGTATTTGGCTGACAATGTCTGAAGGTGCTTGCTGTTGGTTTGGCAAAGTGGGAATGTCCTCAAAAGCAACTGCTATATACAAAATACGTTATGTGGCGTCTGATCACAAACTACTACCATTGTCTGGATTCATTGGTTTGAGAATCAAGTATAACATTGGGCGACTCGTTTTGTGAGATTATTTCATACCGGCTGAGAATATACAAAATATTTTCTTAATTTCAAGTGCTTTTTCACAACAAGTAATATTATATTCATATTATGTTAGTCTGATTGAGTTACTCACTGTTAAAACTCGGGCAGATCTAACTTTCATTTTCCCATGTTTCTTCCACTGATGATCTTAGGTTATTTTGGTATTTATGGGTTGTGTGTATGGATGTGTGATATCCCTCTAATTCTGGGGAGCAGAATGACCCGAACGCAGAATAAATAAAGAAAATCTTATCATTTTAAGTCCCATCCAGACCTGACATTGCATTCTTGCTCATTTTAATATGCGATTATCATGCTTTATGGTATTTCCTCTGCGCTCCAGAAGTGTGTGTACCAATATGGAAGTAATTAAATTTTTTCGTCTACTTTACATAAGTTGTATAATAAATGGACTGAAGCCTAGGGGCAGGGGTATATTAACTTGGCACAGTTCTTGAACTTGTAATAAAACTGATGAAAATCAGACTAAAATCATGGCCTAACCCTAACCTGGTACACACACTACTGGAGTACCATTTCCTCTCTTCAATAAAATGTTCCTCCACATTATCACAGACCAGATTTGAGGTTTTTATCGCAGTATTCCTTTCCCCTTAGATAAATTTGGAAATTTATTGTTTGAGAAAGTTATAATTTACCTGCAATCCTGAGTATTTTTTTTATTATGAAGTTCGTGCCATTTTCATATTATTTTATATTTTTAATCCTGCACTAACCATGAAATGTTCTTGATCATCGATTTTCTGAATTTTTATATTAGAAATCAAAAGCATGACTGATACTTGTTTTAAGTGAATGAAAAGTTTTCATAGCATTAGATTTTTCAATGAAAACAAGGAACTCTCAAGGTATGTGAACCAAGATGGCGGACACCGGAGAGTAGTATGTGTACCAGGTTAGGCCATAATTTCAGATACAAATACCACCGGAGACACTTGGCTGGTCCTCGAACTCATAATAGAACTAAATTTGGAATAAAATCATGGCCTAACCCTAACCTGGTACACATACTATGTTCTAGTGACCACCATCTTGGTTCACATACTTCGGGATCGCCGAAAACAAAAGTAGCAAAAGCTCTTCATTAATTCATTACTCATTCACTTTGAGCACTAGTCAAGCATTCATATAACAGTCAATAACTTGCTTATAGTTTTGCGATAGAAACCTCTTTCCACATAGTAGTGTTAAGATTATGACTAGACTCTGACAATGTGTGATATTGTTTATATAAAAAAGACATGTTTTCAATCTATTGTCCCCAGCCTATGCATGTGCCACTCTTCTAGATGAAAAAAAGTTCATGAACCTGTATTCAGTTTTAAGCTATGTAGAGGTTTGGGGTAGGGTTTGTAAATTTTAAGTTTTATCGCTTTTTACTCATTCGTGGAATCACCCATCATTTGTTTTTATCATGAGAAAACATGTAACGGGACATTTCTGTGGATGAAAATTTAATGCTTTCGTACACTTTCAGGTCTTTTTGTTGTCAAATTTCAACATTTCGAGCAGAGGGAATTGTGCCTTGCTTATTTGCTTTTTTAGTTGCTTCCTATCAGATTTATAGGCCTATTTTTTATTATTAAAATCAGAACTTATGAACAACTAACCCCCATTGTTTACTTCAATTAATTTGACATTACTTGGCACATTTTATTATTTGATTCTCATTTGTGTTGGTTCACACATGTGCTTCAAATAGCATATCCTGAGATACTGCTGTGCTGGTATTGGAATCATCTCTATACCAACTCCCACATGATAGGATGAGGTGATGCTTACAAGCAGATTGAGTGATTGATGCTGGCATGATTGTGCAATGCTGGAGCGATCTTTTTTTCATATCTCATATGGGAGGAGCAGAGCTAGAGGTGTGATATACTGGCAATGAATTAAGAATGAGACACCAAGGCCTGACAATATATTTCCAAATATTCTGTTATTATTTTAAATAGCGAATTTGATGCCCACATACTGTTTTCACATACATTGGTCAGAAGAACTTTTACTTAGGTGTAGCATGTCAAAGACTGTATATGATTCAGTATCATTATTTAAAAAAAATTCTGCTTCGCTGCTATAGTTATTGCCTCCACGCATATTTGATGAAATACTTTAATTTAAAACAATTCTAGGTTGTATGTAATATACCAGCCATGAAATATTTATTTGAAAGTAACTATCTACTTTAATGACTACAAATTGTGGTTAACCTCAAGCCTCTGTTTTAGGGTGAATCATGACGAGTACGAATAAAACCAAATATGTCTTTTCAAATTTCAATGGAGTCTTCGGAAATGAAGTAAACTTGGACATAACTTTTCATTTACAAAATTTCTCCCTTCCACTTTTCCATACTAATGTACCATCAACTACTTTCTGGCCTGACTGGTAACACATATGGTGGTTTATTCATTGTTGCATTTTTATAACTTAAAGAAACTGTTATTTCCATTGTTAAACTGTATCCCATGTCCGTTATTTTCAATTTCACTCAGTTGCTCTTATTTCACTCGAATGTTGCAAAACAAATGTTGCAAAACAAAATAACTGCTAGATCAGGAGTCAGTTCACACACTTTGCGAGAATTTTTTGTTTTACTTTGGACTTTCGTCTTGTACTACATAGTTTCACTGCTGCATAAAGTCTATCGCGACAGCATTTTTCGCGGTTTTATTTTTATATTTTGTACAGAATTCTGTAACCTTTTGCGATTATTATATAATAAAAACAATTGCAAAAATTTTTTCTCATTTCTCCATGGTTCTTCATGATGTAATTGCAGCGTGGGTTTTAATTTTTTTTTTCGTTGCTCCCTGGCTCTCATACGCAGGTTATACATGACAACTTCTTTTGCAAAATGTGCGTCCCCAACTGGAAGGTAAAAGGATAATTAATGAAGATGATTCAACTGTTGAAATTGAGCTTTTAATGTAATCTTTTAACAGTCTCAACCATAAATGGCAGACTGACAAAAAACGTTGGTGGAACATACATCATCTTCGAAATAGCAGACGAGTATTTGATGACTATTTGTTAGAGGAATCAAGCACACCACTGTGGTTATAGAATTCCAGAAAAGAGTCTCTGCTGGGACTACTATTCGGTTCAATATTTGTGTTGTTTAGTTGAAGCCCAGTTATAGAATATCACATCGCCTCTCTCATGTCCCTAACCCAAATTGAAATTTTCGCAATTCCCAATTTTTACGGGCCATAACGCACATATAAATCTTTTTTTGTCAAAAATCGGTCATGCGCCTTATAAGCCGGTGCCTAATCTATAGATCGGGTATTGCTCAATCGATCAATGAGAGAGAGAGAGAACTTATTGTTTCGTCAAACCAGAAAACACATACAATATATATATGATAGCAAAATGAGAAATGAACATACCTAAGAATATCAATTTTTTTGCTTAATGGACCTTTCCCCGACCCCCGGAAAATTCTTCCTATACTTTACCATTGCAAAATTTTCGGGGCTATTTTAAGAATGATTTTGCGAGTTGGCGCCCGTGAAATGGGGTATGTGTTTCAAACCATCATTCAATCAATTTTATTTGGTCACTCTGATACAAACAAAACAACAACACAGGGCAAACAAAATACAGAGGACCCGGAGGACGGGCATAACTTAATAATAAAGTTTAATACGTACAAGTAAGAGAGAGAGAGAGAGATTTATTTCGTCAACCAGAAAAAAACAGTCATAATAACAAATAAATAATGGCTATAAAAAAATACGCTTTTTTCGGTATAGACTGGAAGGAGCGATACGACCATGCGGTCATCGAAGTCAGCCCCCTCCAAGTTTACGCTGATAAATTCACAGCAAAAATATGACTATTAAAAATGGTTGAAGTTCACGACACAAAATTTGAAAAAACGAACAAAAAAAATGAAGTAATTAAAAGTTATTTATTTTTTTCCCCGTGAAATCAATTTTTAAATGATGAGATTTGTGAAATGAAACATTTTGGGCAAATTTTCAACTATTTGAAAGTGAGGAGTAAGCCCCACAAATAAAAAACCATTTTGGCTATTGGACTACTATACTCAAATGTAAATTTGGACACATAACAATTATTCGAATCAGCAAGGAGCCAGCCTTACATGTACGAATAAATTTAAGGAGATAAACAACAATGGTACTCATGTAACACAATTGTTTCAAGAGAGGAATCAACCTTACGAGAATATCGGTCAGAGACCGAGGACTTATCGATCAAAAGTCAGGGGATCCCCAAACAAGCGCTCTTACTCCATAGTGACACCTTGTGTCCCATCACTAATTAATTAATAACTCGCTAATTATACGACATAATTCGCCAAAAATCAATAGGCTTCTGGTCCGAGATATGATGAATGCACATGAAAAATCTGGAGCAGATTCAATCTCGTTTTCGTGTGATATCGCGTGCATCTAACAGCCAGACAGACAAGAGATTTAAGCTTTTATCATTGATGAATATGGAAATCTATCTGCAATGACATGTTTGGAAAAATGAATTTTACCAAATAGGTGCCTCTTATACCTATCACAAAAGACATCTTTGTCATAATTTACATTAAGAAAAAAGTACAATAAGAACCAAAATAAAAGTAATTAGAAAAAAAAATTTATTGTCTAATCTAAAATAGGTATGAGATAATTACAAGACCAATTGCAATATAAACTTCAGCAGAAAAACGTTCAACTATGACCCCACAACTTCTTCGTTATGAGACAAAATTACTTTATCAGTCATATCTTGCAAAGATTCAAAGCTGTCTATAAATGATTCCTGAACATTACATTCATGTGGAGTGGAAAAATTGGATTTCTGAAAAATGACGTGACTTTTTTCATTTACATTCATGCCATGCCCTGCACAAATTTGCAATACACTTGCACGATCACTTAGCAACAACCATTTCAATAAAATCTCAGGTGGAAATGAACATTGTTTTGAATTATGGGAATGAGAAAGAACAGAAACAACTTTAGTCCTATACTTTTGAGTATTTTCTATAAAAGATAATAACGGTAAATAATATTCGTTGCTTTTAAGAAGCGAAAACAATTTGAAAACTCTGACAAAGTTATTTTGAAGCACAGCACGGTATAATTGAATAGCAGTTTGCAATGGTTCTTCCATCCTTATTCCTTTAGAAAAGTTCATCAAAAATTCTTCAAAAATATTTGATTCTGAATTGAATATCACGTAACATGCTAAAAATTCTGAAGAGTTGTTAAGAGTCTTTTCCACCGGAAAAGATCTATAAATTTCTACCAATGATTGTAGACATTGCTTCATATGTGTCCGGTGAATATGTCTGTCTATTGACACGAGATTGTACCGCTTTATAACAAACAAAGCGAAAGCATAAAAACGATAGCATTTTTCTATTATACAAGCTGCAAGATGTGGATCTTTCGAGTGTATTTGTTGAATTACCATATCTTGGCGAACACTTCTCAATCTGTCAAATACGAAATCATATACCACATCAAATGGAACATCTCTTCTAGTTGCAATTTTTGCAAGAAGATAGTCAACAGTTTGAAGCAAAACTTTTGCAGGCCGCAACTGATCTGCATCATTCAACTTTTCCCCAGCAGCAGATCTTCTAAACTCTTTGACACATTTGGTTGGATCACATTTTGGATGCCTGATTTTTTCATGTCCATCCATAACTTCAAATAAGCTAAGTAACCTATTTGCTTCTCTGAATTTCATTTCAGATTCTGGGCACATATCCAGGCATCGTCCATGCACCGACTCATAATCACTGCTTGATTTATTTTCCATCAGATTCAAGATTTTAATAGTTAATGGATACTGGTATCCCTAAAACCAAGTGCAGTTTCAAGTATTTTGTGGCGTCTAGAGCTGCGTACGTGCCCGTCCCCAAAAAACAGTCAAAACACAATAAAACAAAAACACGATGTGACATCGGGCAAAATCCTATAAATTAAAATATGAGACGTGTATGTGCTTTTCCTACAGATATATGTATTAAAGAACACTCGCTGCCGAAAAATGGTGATGCTGTAGGCCTAGTTCAATTACGTTGCAAAAGTAACACAGTGACAAATTTTGAATGTTCCATCGCAGTCTATGCACAAATCATGGATTACGGTGTTGGGTTCTTTTGTCGTTTTCGGTTAGTTCAATTTAAAATCATTGTATCCGTTCCAATGCTTCCAACATCAATATCGAATTTCCACGAACGACCACCATTCAGCCATTCCAACAGGTGAACGTGCAATCGTCCCATCTTTTCTACGCTCTGTTCCATCATCCACGTCTAGATTCATAAAAAGATCGAAAGCTCGCAATATACCCGCATCAGATCGTCCACCATTTAACTTTAAATCCAATCTTTTATCAATTAACTTCTTTAATTCCATGGATGGGCTTTGCTCATATTGATATTACGCGATACAGATTACAGATTATGACTCATCGCATAAAACAATCTGATTTTTAAAAGTACCGGTAAAGAATTTTAGCCTAGTCTATCACAGCTATTTCTACACTAATTTATTATTACTGCAATTAAATTAAAACTCCTAGGAAGACAGAGTGATCATTGAGAGAGAAAGAGTTTATTTGTTTTGTCCACCAGAAAACATATACACAACAAAAACATGATTAATAATAAGCGAAACAATTTTCGGTATAGACTGGGTGGCAACGATACGACCATGCGGTCATCGGAGTCTGTTACCACCCAACATTAAAATCAATAAACATGAATAAAAAATGCTTCAGATATGTTTAGGTGTGTCCAAAAACAACATTAAATTTCCATGGAAAAAAAGAAAAATTACTAAATTATTTGCGTATACACAATAGGCGTTTAAAGTTAAATAGAATTTCAGACATGCTGCACACTTGATCAAGTGTGGTATTGGTCAAATTTTACATGGATATGTATTTTTGAGTATATGGATGCATCAATAGCGTGGAATCGGGTTTTTAAAGTTGAAGGATACACAATAACTTTTTGTGTAAATGGTGAAAGACTTTAGGCAGCATATATAAAAAGACGTTAAACAAAATCACTACAAAGTACCAAAATAAATTGGAACAGTTTATAAGGTACAGAGAAAAAGGGGGAAAAAAAGAAGAAGCAAAATCTCAAAATTGAGCTTAAGCTGGGTTATGCTGAATTATCTGATTTATATTTAAGTTTTCGAAACACGACTGAAAACTAACGAATAGAGTTCAAAAACGCGAAAACGAGGTAATGTTTACGACCACGCTTCAAAATATGTCTGAGTGAGAAAAGTGTCTGAGCGGATGCGAAAAGGAAGCATTGTTACGTCACTTTTTGCATCTTGTTGATTAGCCAATGTCACGAAGTAAACAAGGAAGTCGATGCTCGGGGAAAAGTCCATGAGCTTTATACGGAAACCCATACAATTAAAATTGCTGCGTTTTATGACCTGGTGCGCCTTGTGTATAGACAAAACGCCAATCTATGCGATTTATCGACGATGCGCCTTATAGTCAGATTATTATGGTGCGTTAAATACGGTAAGTCGAGGTTTCTATTACGTCCTACTCGAACATTCCACAGGAGGCGTCGTGAGACCAAATATTGAGAAAAGGCGGCCTGTAATATTGACGTCAGAGGGTGCGTCATATGGTGCCCAAATATGGTCATTGTCGATTTAGCCTTTCCTTTTGCTCGGCTAATTTGACACGAATGTTGAAAGAATGTGTTTGAAAAGCCGCTTGTGAGAAACGTTTTCATGTCAAATAAACGTTTTGTTGAGAATTGAGTCTTTATTTACCGAACAGTGGTGTTAGGGGTTTATTGACAATCTAAGGTTAGGCTTCGGTGATAAATGTTTGTCAAATATCAAGATGGCAGGTTTGACTGGCCTTTGCATAACAGCATAATGCAGTAATGATGGTTTCTGGGTTTAGTTTTGTGAACAATTTCTTGTTTGTTGAGATGTCATTTGAAGTTTACCTTGACTTGAGTACCGTAGTCTGTGTGTTACAGTATTGATTGGTTGTTATAATAAAACCTACCGGTACTGAATGTCTTGCCTATAATCTCAAAAATGTAACAGTACCGGTATCTATCTGCATAATAATTAAACAGTAAAACAGAGACCTGGAGACAGGATGCATTTTCAAGACCTTACCGGCCTAAATCTGTAGGACACAGATGTGCGACATGTAATCCTAACAAGTGTAACAGCAGTTTACAGGTTTAGGACTGCTGCGTTATAATACTGTAATAGGACAATAGACTAGACAAATAAAACTAGTAAAATACACAACACAAACTGAATTGACTATTGTTATGGCTAGCTCTGGCAATTAACGAAGTTGAATGATGTGCTTGGCAGTCTAAATTCTGAAATTGTTACCGCAGTACCGGTACCTGGCTTCCTTTTTATTTCAGTATTTGGTCCCGAATCTATGCTTACACTTTTAGCATCATTGACAACTAAATATATTGTGCAGATTCTATTAGCCTAGGTTAGCTATGCCTGATATGATAACATTATAATTCATGCTGGGTGTTTTTTGCAACCAGGCTAAACATGAGTCTGTAAAGGAAGATGACGTATTCAAATAGATTTTTAACTGGATGTGGGAGGGATAATACCACATTGCTTGCTTGATGTGTTGGCAAGTTGTGTCGGTGACAGTAGAATATATTTTAAAAATTCATTTTGTAAACTTATGAGCATTTTCCAAAGTTAAGATTTTGTTTTGAAAATCTTATTGATGTCTGAAAGCACTTACATTTGTGGAAGATGTTTCATCTTCATCACATTTGCAACACTGGTCATAGTTGTCAAATTTTTTTGGTTCTGCCCCATTGAACAACTAACACTGACTCATTGTCTGTGTCAGTGAATAAAATTCATTCCTTGTCTTTCATTCTTGGTTTATGAATTTCATTCTATTCGATTGATGCTGAGGGCAAAAAAACTTTTCAAACGCAAAAACTTCTGTTATAAAAAACATTATAGAATTGCGTTTTAGATTGAAATTGAAAATCAATATTTTTGTCCATGAATAATTCAACTTGAGCGAATCAAGTTTCTCTTCGATGAAACTTTTATGAATCAAACTGACAATGCTCGAGGTCATGTTTTATTCACAGGACAAATCTTGAGAAATGAGTTTGAAATTCAAAATTAACTGTGTTTGGGAAAATTTCACTTCGCGAGTTACTGAAAACTCTGCTTTTACCTGAAATTCTAAATTTAGAAGTTTTATTGCTATATAATATGAATAGAAATGAGTTCTTTCGCACTCTTCCCGAAATCATGTTGATTGATCTTTGAGCGAAGTTACGGAGCCTATTAAAATACAAAAGCCACAGAGACCATGAGTAGGCCTATCATACATATTGTCCCAGTTAGGCCGAGAAAGTCCCGATTTTGACAAGCTCCTGGCATCTGTCCGGTAGACTTAAATGTCCCGGTTACGCACAATCATGAATATTTTTTCATATCTGATATTAATAAAACATAATTTTTTGAAAAAAAAGTGCACATTTTCTTATGATTTGAATGTTAGTATTCCTAGGAATCGAACCAAGGGTTTGTCCAATCCTCACTCCATATTTGGTTTTATATATATGATAAACCTAGTTATGAGGAATTATAGAATTGTTAAAATGATATTTGAAGCAGTTCATATCGATACGAACAAGAAAACAGCTATGATGCAAATAGATGAATCTATTTTATTGTGACAAAATCATGTGAATATTAGGACGCTACACTAGTAATTCTGAAAGTGCATAATATACTTCAGTAATCGAAAGAAGAATAACGTACCATTTAGGACAGTGGTTCTCAAACAGTGGTGCTTAGACAATTTTTCGAAGGGGCGGGATCGTGAAGCTAATTAAAAATATGATATTTTGTCAGATTTGATTTTGCCGGACTTATTTTCGATATTTAATGTGTTTTTTTGAATAAAACACACATTCGCCGCACTATCTGTTATTGGTAGCTTATTTTTATCTAGTTATTTTTGAGAAGACGTGAAATTTGACAAATTTTAAAATGTTTGAGAATCACTGATTTACAAGAAATAGTGTGTTCGAATAGTTCATTTTTGTGTTTGTTAGTACAATCTCAACTCTGCTACTAGTGGAAATCATTGAGTAGTTAGTCAGTAGTTTATTCAAATTTAAGTTTATCAGACATGGGGTTGTACTGGTGTCATAGCAAGGCATTAATACATCCTAGTACAGGGGTGGGCAACCTTTTCCGGCTCGCGTGCCAAAATCGACTAAATTTAATGACAAAATTCTTCTGCGTGCCGACCAAAATTGTCGAGAGCTCACTCAGTTGTGATGTCTTAATATATTTCTTTGGAGCCATATGTCAGGAATGGAAAAAAATTATTTAAATAAATAACGGATTGTTAACAAAAGAATAATGATTAAACCGACGCAGAGTTTCAACAGATAATTCAGAGTCTTGAAACTTTTTATCTGAAGAAAATGGATTTCGTTTCTGAAGCCTCGCTCACGTGCCGAATAAAGGGGCTCGCATGATAAGTTCAGAACGCGTGCCAGGGGTTGCCCACCCCTGTCCTAGTACAACTGAACGATGCTTAGGGTGACAAACAAAAAGTGTTGCATAGCCTATATTTCTAAGTAAAGCTTATCAGTGATGCTTTCCTAATTACAATCTTATCAATCAATACTTCAATTGTTATTCATTCACAGTGTTATATATGTAACGTAATTTTTCACTATCATGAATTTCTTATAAGTGTTTTCTGTCACACGGATTATTGAATCACAATGGCTAGTGGTTTCCGAACTGCTGATGGGACGTACGCTGACGGATCCTGGGAGTTGAATATTAGAGTAACGGACTTGCCAATTAAAAATGATCGGGTAGGCAATCAAGCATGACAGTATTATTAGAGACATTACATTCTCTTTCTGAACAAGGCCCTGTTGAGGCGTCCACTAACATGAGCTAATAAAGTTTGGGCTGGAGTATACAGCTTTGCATCACCAACTTATTACGACCTGATTTATTTGAGAGGCGTGGAAATTAATAATTCAAAAAATCATTAAGATGAATCTGTAGTCCTTGTTTTTCAAACTGCTTTGTGAAATTATGCTGTAATGCTTTTTGATAGCAAATAGCAAAATCTGGGAGGTGTGAGAAGATTTAGATAACTATCTCAGAATGTAAAAGTACCTTTGGCTGTAGCTCATTATGGACTAGTACTGCATGGTACCCATCTATTTTTTCTTTCACATGTGCTGATTTCGTCTGGTTTTGTTTTCAGGGTGAAACAGTTTCAGAACATCTTGTACCAGTTCTTGTACGCAGTGAGGATTCTGTGGGATTCGCAATCTCTAGATTAGTGGAAGCTTTGAAATTAAAATTTGGTGAGTTGATGTACAATTAAAAATAGATCCTTTTACTGCTTTTTATATGACATGTCAATATGTTTTTTGCTCTGAACAAGGCTCTGCAGAAGCAGACTGCTACCATTACCATAATTAGGTGTGACTCCAGTTTTACATTGCCTAACTTTAACTTATTACTCCTTCCACAGGATTATAGCCTATATTGCATCCTAGTTCCAACTCTTAGAACAGGGTCATCAACCCACGGCCAGATTTAGCCCGAGTTGTGAAATAATCCGACCCACTAAGCTCCATTGAATTATAGCGACAAAATGGCGGTTTCGAGGATTAATTAATTTTAATCTACGCTCAAGGAGTATATTATATTCTTCACACAACATAATTTTTTGTTAACGGCTTTTAATTTAACGAGCCTACAATTTTATTATAATCAAACAACTGGCAACACACATAAAAGTTGATGCTGAGCGCAGGGCGCAGACTTTGCTTTTGCGTAAAAACTCAATAAATATAATTGACTTTTTTTAAGATGTGACTCAGGATTGGTCAGGTTATGAGATGTGGTGGCCAAAGAAAAATAAATGGCTGATGAACAGCAATCATGCCTTGGTGAGAGAAGAAGTTCAGGCTGATGCTGAATTATGGTTCACTATGAGACATAAGGTCAGTCATTACAGCAAGGTTTCCCAACCATTGAGAATTTTTGCTTTGTATTCCCTTCAGTATTACTAGTATTATTCAGCAAAAATTCAAATCTCCGCCATCCCGTTTTCTTTTCGCCAATGTTTGAGGTGAATTCCCCGATTTGTTTTATCGAAGCTTATTTTTTCTGCCAGAGTGATGTATTCTCATACCCGGTATGGACTGGTAAGTGAACCAGAGGCTGTGGTATACACGATATGGTTAACTATCCCCATATTCGACATGGACTGGTAACCGGACCATAGACAATGGATGGTCACATGATTAAGCTTTCCCCTCCTTCCCCTTTCCCTGAATATGAAAACTCTCACATTGCCTTTGTTTACAGACACTTCGAATCCAACTATGCGATCTGCAATACGCAAATATTAGAGTTGATTTTTCATCAAAAGTTTTCACAGCGGTGAAAGAAATTTGTAGATTTTTTGGTGAGTTGGACTTTGACTGTCTCTGAGAAACCTGCCCACAGGGTGATATGTGGATAATTTGATATTTACCATCTTTTACTTTATAGCTAATGACCAATTTTTCAAACTAACGTCTTTTACACGACATCTTATTTTTTCTCTCTTAAAAAGGCTGTTTAAGAGCAGCCACTGCTGGCTAGGGAGCATAGTAAGATTAATTATTGTTATCATCGGTTGAAAAATTGTTAATAAGGTTGATAAACTACGATCTGTTACTTTGTTATGCATACATGCCCTATCATTTACTTGCTGTCCCATGGTGGGGAACTCTACCTGATTTTATTGTTATCTTATGTAGACAATAGACATTGGTTATATTAATAAAACTGATCTGAACAGTATATTAGGTTCATTTGTCATATCCCTGCTAATTTGCTTCAGATATTCGTCGACCTGAGGAATTATCTTTACTTCGCGTCCAAGAGAAAAGAGACGGCCACAAAAATTCTCCACAGAGATCTCACGCAAACGGAAGTTCTTACGATGAAGGACTCATCGCTCCAAACGTTCTCAATCCAAGCATGACTCCGACATCTCCTTACACCCCAGGTCAGTTCATTTGCGTTCTTTATTCTAAGTTAGTGGTTTCTAACCCGATGCCCATGGCCCTTCGAGGCACAGAACTGATTATACTTTACCCTTTCAAAAAATCCTCCCAGTTCTTCCTAGTTTAATTTCTTGATGAAATTATTTCACAAGGTTTTTTTTCTTTGTTGTGCATAATTTTTTTTTAACATAATGGAAATTGGAATCTGCCCATCAAAATATCACTGAAATGATTAACAGGGGGCCATAAGTGCTAAAAGCCTGCGAAAGGGGGCCGAGATATTAGAAGGTTGGGAGCCACTGCTCTAAGGCTTTGGACATGCAACCACTATTGTGCCTATGGATGTTCAATCTGGAGAAAGTTCTCCCTATCTTGACCCAAATTGAAAAAAAAAGTTGGTCTATTTTCCGGGAAAATTTCGATAATAAAACTTTTGGGCAAGCGCAAGCTTTTTTTGACAGTTTGACAGGAACGCTCATTCAACTTAATATTTTTGGGGTTAATTTCAAAAATTTCAATTACTATAATTGTCGTTAGATTGAGAAATTTTGTTTTCAGAGAGTCTGAGACTACAACCTCACTTTCAACCTGTGAATTGTACTTTTTTGACAAATGCCTACTTTTGGCGATAATGGATCTCTTTATTCTCCCCTCACCATGCATTTGAACTCCGTCTTGCTCAATCTTTGATTGATCAATGGGCTAGTGCTCCAGGCAACTTGTGTTCTGGCTTTTGCACGGTTTGAATAGATTATAATGCGCAGAAATATAGGTTCTGCTGTAGTGTGTGTACCAGGTTAGGGCTAAACCATAATTATATTCAGAGTTTCTATATTTTAGTTTTATTACGAGTTTGACTGTCTGTGTTAGCCAAGTGAATATAACTCTTGCTCATAGGTTTCAGTTCTTTTACACAAATTGATGTAAAGTAGGCGAACGAAATTAGTGACCTCCATATACGTACACATACTTCTGGAGTGCCGAAATATGTATTGCAACAATAATACTAGGCGAACAATATTAGTAGAGCTGCACTGAATACTGAGTTACATTAATTACTTATTGTCTGGGAACCGCTGATTTGAACAAAATTTTATCTTCCAGGTTCACCGATGTACAACACATTGACACCAAAGAACAAGGGAAACAGCCCGCTGTCTGCAAACAGTCTTGAACTTCTTGATGCCGCCTTCATCAATCCGAGAGTTTTAACAAAATCACCTCTAAAACCTTCCCCCGCTGCTCTATGTAATCTATTCCGACCTAAATCACTACATGACAAAGCCAGACGGAACATGGGGTGAGCTTGGGATGTTTACACTTAGAGATGGCCGACAAGTGCCGTAGCCTTGGGGAGGGGGGGACGAACCCCATTCCCCCACCCCTTTTAAATTGTAAAAAAAAAATTACCCTTCTTAAACTGTAAAAAAATAAAAAAATAATTTTTTTGTATCATAGATAGCAATATTTCGCAGTTCGAAATGCTCTTTAGACCTTTGAGATTACTAAAAACCCGTGTATTCCAGCGTTTGATCGAACCTGCTAACTGTTTCGATCTAATTTGGCAAAATAAAATTTCAGAACCTCCCCCTTTGAGAAAATTTCTTCCTACGCCCTTGTGGCTGATTTCTGATTTGAGTGATATGACACTTTGCTCATAAGCATTCCTAATGGTATTTTGAATAAGATGGGGAATTTGGCAATTATAAATTTTTCACCACTCATTTTCCTATTACACCACTATTTTTCTTTATAGATGGCTGGACAGTTCCAAATCCCTGATGGAACAAGGCGTCAAAGAAAGCGACACTTTACTTCTCAGATTCAAATTTCTTTCTTTCTACGACCTTAACCCCAAGGTTAGATTTTTATTTTGTCATTTCATTTATTCACTTTTGGAAAAGAAAAGCTGATAACATGGGGTTTAGTCATATTAGGATCCAGTCCAGTTGGGCCTATGAGCTTGGGTTTGGCAAATACGCATTCAATACACATGAAATGTGACTGCTGTTGTCGGCTTATAAAAAGGCTTGATTTAAAAAAAGGACAGCATTAATTTTTATTTATTTATTCTTGGGGAGAAGAAAGCTGATTTTAAGGAGCCCTGAAATCATGATCAATCCAATTCTGGCAAATGCAGAATCGTTCAAACTCGAGATCAGCGAACTGTTAATAATCGACTTTCAATGTTTATACTAACTGCGGATAATTGGCCTAGATTTCGTTAAGATTAAAAATATCCGCTGTGAAAGTTTCAGCAGTTCTTTTGCCTTCAGGGCATCGTAGTGGCTTTGAAATATCGTAGTTCAATCTAGCACACCGATGCAGGAATAACTTGAATTCTTTTCCACTTTCTATCACAATTTAATAAATAATTCAGAATTGTGTCAGTGTTCAGTGAAATTATAAAAAAAAAATGTTCCAAAGAAATTCATTCACAGACAAACCTAATGATTCGAGAGGAAAATTCTATTGTTGTGTAATCAGGTAGTAAGACCTTGACGATAATTGACATAAACTTAATTTACTACAGATTGGGTTTATCTATCCTTCTATGCTTTTGTGCTAGTAGATGCGTATAACGCAAGGATGCTATAGCAAGAGTGAACTATTCTAAGTTATTCAATAGTCTGGCTGCAAACTAACACAATTATATCTCTCTAACGATTCGTCTGACTTTGGAAATATATTTATTTTCTCGTGCAGCAAGATTCTTGAAGCACTTAGAATAAAAATCATTGTGATAAATGCTGAAACCCAATTCTTTGACTCTCAAACAAAATAACTATTTGCTGAAATATGATTCTGCGTCTGATCTCCAAATATTTCTGATAAAATTCTTGTCTCAGGGCATCGCCCTACTCAAAATTTTTGGAGATTTGATTCAAATTTAACCCTGCTCGGGTAATGTTATTCAATGAATTTAAAAGTTCTATAAGCTTAGAATTCAAAAAAGTATGGATTTGTTGTTCAATAATTTCACATCAAATTTTTGCTGTAAGATGAATTCTTTCAGAATTTATAAGAACACAAATCTTAGGCAAACCTTGGAATTGTTTTGAAGTCAATTTTTCTGAAGAATTATTTATGAGTTAGTATTAGAATTATTTATTTGATGTGTGATTATTATGAAATGTTTTCCTATTCTATGCATAAAATAAGACGAACTTTCATAACTTGAGCAAATTTTGATTTTGCCTTTAATAAGACACTTTCATATTTTTTCCCCGTGGCCTTGTACGATAAACTATAAGATTTATCTATCAGAAAACTTCATTTAATTGAAGGCTTTGTATTTTTTATGAGAAGTAGGGGGGGGGGGGGGGGTGGGGCTATTTGAGTAGTTTTTGACATTTGAACCGATGTAAAATATGAGTGAAATCGATTCTCCGTGAAATTATGGTTTCATTGTAACATTCTGACCCTGTACTTCCTTGCATAACAGTTTGAGTCTTATTCAATGTATTCAAGTCACCTTAAAATGCAATTTTTTTTGGAAGTCAGTATGCTCAATTTACCTCATTTTTCGAGGATAATTGAGTATACTGACATCTACCAGTTAAATCAAATCTAAGAAAGCCCTAGAACCAAATCAAAGACCTTCATGAGAAACTTGGGTACATATAGTTTATTTTAAAAAATAGTAATTACAAAAACCTTAGAACATAATTATCTGACATCACTTTAAACTTGGTATGATAGATCGCGATTATGGTTTCCATAAACTTTTTACCACAAATAGGCTTTTAGTTTAAATACGAGTTCACTATGGACTAGAAATGGGTGGTTTGACTTGGCCAACAACTTCCTTGATAGAGATACTTTTTATGTTCCTATTTTGGGTTAAATCTAACACAAAATCTTTGAGCTCTTCCATACATTGGTATCATACAAAGTTCATTTTATATACATTGGTGAGGACAACTTGGCCAAGGAATTCCCTTTCCCCGTATTTCAACCAGCCAGTCAAGGTCTTGATTTCATTAATGTCAGAATATGCTGCTTATAGTTAGTCCTCTGTTATAATCAGCTGTACAATGTGAGAATTCTGTTTCATATTCTGTCTCATCGTCAATAAAGCCCAATCTAATTCTGACTCTGTTACTGCTTTTCTGAACTAATATTATGATCTTTCTCTTTGCTGTTTTTCTTTTTTCTACCAATCATATTCGTTTAAGTCTATCCTATCAGTATAATGGTATATACTTTCAACTGACGTTATATAGTTTTCGCCTGAATTCTTTTTCTGGGGCGGCTGTTTTTTTATTATTACTACATGTTTTCGGAGATGACAGTGAGTGTGATTACGTCAACTAAAGCCTTTGTAAATGCACTAAGCTTACTGGTGGAGTAGGACTCTGTGCTTGGCTTGTCCACAGCTTTCTTTTTTACTATTTTTTTTTAGTTACAAGAAAAGAACTGCTTTCTCAAAATCCTACGATTGCCCATTGTGGATTTACACTCATATTCATGAAAAATAGAAGCCTATATTGAAAGATTGACATGATAAAGGCTACAAAAAAGTGTTAGGGCTCAGAATAGTCACACAGAACCTCATAATCCAGTGTTATAGCAGTGGGAGAGGCCATTTATGCATATACCCAATTTACCCCACGGTAAATTTCCGACAGACTCAATTTACCTCGATTTTTTCAAACATCAATGAAACAAAAAGTCAATGAGTTACACAAAAATTATCTACTGGGGCAAAGAGAGTCTTTACTAAGGTACTAAAAGGCATCACAAAAAGTTTAAAATATACTATCAGAAAAGTGTCACGTGAAAGTTTCCAAAACAATTTTTTTCGTGAACAAAAAAAATTTCACATACAAACATCTAAAACAATTTTATCATTAGTAGGCAAGTGAGTTATACGCAATGAAATGGAAGCATAGGATATGAACTATTGTTGCTACAAAGTACAAACCATTCACTCAACATACAAAAAAGTTAGCGAGGTTTTTATACCATGTACTCAATTAACCCCATATGCTCAATATACCCCCCCCCCCCCCCCCCCCCTATTGGTAGTTTCAGATTATTGAAATTGCAGGCTTTTTAAGAGAAATTTGTGACTTTTATAATGAAATTTTCGTTATAAAAAGCTTGGTGGGATGACACAGGTGATAATCCATCCAAGAAAGTTTTATATATTTACTATATACTCCACCCACCGCTATCAACATACCTTTTAGCGCAACAGTCTGTAAAAATGACTGTATTACATGTATTTAATTTTAGTGGTTTTTTTTTGAATAATCACATTTGTGTTTTAGGCCAACATGGTCTCCAACATTATTGTCAGCTTAAATAAGTACGAGTTGTTGTGGGCTTTCATGTTTGATTTCCGTAAAGTCTGTTTTCAAGTGTTTTATGCAACATTCCTTGTGTTCATCAGAGTAGAAAAAATGTTGCCCCACATTTAACACTTGTTGATGATTGTTAGAGCATGTGAAGAGCCTCTCATGTGTGAAATTGTTACGTGTTTTACTATATATAGGCTGTTTCTAGTTGCTGTATGTTTCAAGCTTGCACCAACTTAAATAAATAAATTTAATTAATAAATTTCACCCCTTACAAGCAAGCAGTGGTCTATTTCTAGCCTATTTGACAAAATTGATTGTTTGCCCATAAAACATTACACGTTATCGTGAACATTCCTTTGTTGTGTAAACAGTGTCATTATATGTTTGTCGAAAGTAAACGACAAGTAAATTTATTTGTAAGATTTGTAGAGAATTGAGATTTGATATTGCTAGCCATAAATTGTGGATAGTTGTCTTAATAAAGTTCTCCCTTTGCCTCATCTACACTAGTTGAGTGGAACCTTTGATAATACAATCGGACCATATAGAAATAAGTAGTTGAAACCGCGGGCCACACCTTCATTCAACATAGGTTATCTAGTAGTTGCAGGCACTTCTCCATGGACAGCACAATTTTTTCCGTCAGGGCCGCATTTGGCCCAGGGGCAACGTTCCCTCTGTCCGAAAATCCCCGCACAGTACTTTCGTTCTGCCGCGCTGTGCATAAGTATTAAAATCTTCAAAATGTTGTGTTCTTCTATTTTTTCTAGTTTTCTGCGCAGACCTTTTTTTGGAGCTCACATGGCCTTCTATTCCGCGCAACTGAGCAAGCTTTTAGAGGGAACATTGACCATGGCTGCAGGTTGCACCCCCTGCTATACACTATGTATAAAATCGGTTTCTGTTATTTGTTTATTCTTCAAAGAAACACAACTCGCACAGTTTGAATAGTCTGTAATGTTACCATAAATATTGCAATAATACTAAATATGATACTACAATAATGATAATACAAAGTAATATTTTCTCTCCAAAACAACAAAATTCTTCCCAGTTGGGTAACTTTGATTCAGTGGATTCGTGTGCACCAACAGCAAGGATACTGTAGCATCACTTTCAAAAAATTTTCTGCAACGTCTTAGGTTGTCAAGTGTAGAGTCTGTCAGATCTTTTATAGATAGTAGTTAGTACAGGGTGTTCATAAAATCCTTGTTACAATCATATTTTTGTTATTGAGTTAGTTCTCAAGATATTTTAACCAGGTTTGTTTTATTTTGATTAGTGTTTATTTGAGTTATTTTACTTTACCTACATACATAGATATTTTTGGGTAAAGTATGACTTCAATAATAATTTGTCCTACAAATGGCAGTTTTACAAAATAACATTAACCTCAATTATTTGAAGTGCCAAATTGCGTTAATTTTAAATTTTTCTTACGACATCACTAGGCAGACATTGCACGTCTCATTCTTATTATGGAACGTGCGGCTCATTAATATGACATCATAATGCTATATTTTTCAAAATGACAGCCATGATCATGTATGCTACAGTGATAATATCATCGGACCATATGTATCATTATGTTGTTGATTTTCAAATTAGAAATGTATTGATTAGTCACAATGTTATTTGTTGCATCATAATATTAAGCTATAAATACTCAAATTCTATTGAATAGTTTGTACATGCAATGTATGATTTTGTGTCTATTCAGATCCTCTATTAGATCCGCCTTTCACAGAAACAAGACCAATGTTCTGGTCTGGCCTCCCAAATGACAAATTTTGATTAAAATAGGTTATTTTAATTTATACGTAATGGATTCCTAATTTGAGAATACATTAGGACAGTGGTTCTCAAACTTTTTATGCCGCGCCCCTTTTTTAGATTTTGTCAAGTCTTGCGACCCACCTCAAAAATAACGTTATGTTTCATTCAAAAATATGTGTTTGGAACATAAATAATGAAATATATGAAAAGTTTCAAAAACAAATAAAGCGGAGAAGATCGAATCTAACAAATAGTTTTATTTTTTACTAGCTTCACGCCCCTTCAAATAATTTTTTACGCCCTTCTTGTGGAGCGTGCCTCACCGTTTGAGAACTCTGCATTAGGAAAAGTGTCTTTGTTCTTATATATAACAATCTCTTATCTGTGAATTCCAATACACATCCACACACTAGTTTTTGAATTCGACATGAAATGACTTGAATATTCTTCTTTTTTAAGAAAAACTCCAAATCTGTAAGACAAATGATCACTAAACATAACTAGCTACTGTCTTGTAATTAAAGCAGGAATTACCAGTCGTGGATCCCTATTTGTGAATCTTAGTTCTGACGGATCCCGTATGTATCAGTTTATATTTTAATTGAAATCAATCGTTAAAGGTGATCAGATTCTTTTCATATTGTTGCGAACCAACCCCCTGATATATATTAGTTCACAACGCATAGCTTTCACAGCTCATGCCCTAGAGAAATTGAAAACATTTATCGCAAATATTGACTATGTGCATCATGTTCAAAATATTGGAAAAATTTCAAAAATTTTCCATTATTAATAAAAGTGTGCGCATTAACAATAAACGATAACCAAAAATCCACAAAAAATGCAAATTTATGCTCCTAAGATTTAACGTTAACATTTTTTGTTCTTATTTTTCTCTTGTGGGTTTTAAGGACTACTATTCTTTAACCTCTCGTTCCCATCATATCAGGCTGATACCTTGATTGCACAATGAGACTCATAATGGTTTATTGTCTTGAACATGTTGTTAAATACAAGCCGGTATCCATTGTGTGTTTGGTTCTACAGCAGCTCAGCCATGTTTTACAAAATATATGAATGAAAGTATTGTAATAACAACCAGTGATCAAGCAAGTCCTCACATCAGTGGTAGGCGAATTTGGCCAAATATGCACACTGACATTAGCGTGTGGGCCACATTATTATCTGCCTATAAAAATTGCCACATTAAATTGCAAGTTATGATGCGACTCGTATTTTTACGCTAATTACAGCTAACGAAAGTATGTTTGTCAAGTGAATGACATTCAACCGAATTGTGCTTTTGCTCACACTAATTACTCATAACAAACACTGTACAACAACCATTGTTATGGCATACAACTGTGTTCCTTGCCTGATAATAACAAATTTATGAGCATTTTTTATTTTTATGTGTAAAAAAAAGCGAGGTCATTCGAAAACCACAAATAATTAGTTGCAAGCTGCAGTTTTCCGAACACTGTCTTACATTCTGTGGTCTTATTTTGAAGATTTTTAATAAGTTTATTTAATGAATAGTTGTGTTTTCTTTGGCTATCTTGTAATTTTTTATTACTTCCTCACTATACCTGAAACCCCGTTTGAATAGTTCCTAATGTGGCGTGAATATGTTACAGTATCACTGAATATTATTAAAAAACTACACTGATCATGTGGTAGTACTTTTGTATTTCCGTCCCAAAAGCAACAAAAGCCCCTTGTTGGAGGATTCCTCTCTTGCTGGGAAATACTGATTTAGTGCAATATGTGATTTCCCTGTAAAACGTATTTTCTTGACATAATATATTTTTTAAATGGTTTTTTATCTGAAATTACTTCATCCCAGCTATTTCATATTTCAGTACGATGCGATTCGGGTCAACCAATTATTCGAGCAAGCACGTTGGTCGTTACTTTGTGAAGAAGTCGACTGTACAGAGGAAGAGATGATCATGTTTGCTTCTTTGCAGGTCAGACCCTTCATATTTAATCAAGTCAAGTTAATTTTTTCCAATAGATAAAAAGAAATTAGTTCAACACAAATTACAAGAAAATGATATTTACGCAATGGCAGTGAAGCTCAAGGTTCTAATATCCAATTTGAAGAATCGAAAGCACAAATTGTACAAATTATTCAACTAGGCTATTATAGTTTACTAGAGATAGTTAATTACAATGAATTGCATTGAAGGCCAATGTCTGGACAAGGAATAGCCTGGGTAGAGGGAAATAATAGGACGCTTTGCGGGTCTAAAAATGACAATATGTTGCTATAAGATAACATAACTAGAACGTTATAATGTCAAAACATCAGGTGCCTGGAATCTTTAACTGATTTATCATCATAATGCGTATATTATACATGCCTTGATCTGTGCTGTTGTTTTCCAATAATTAGTCGGGGATTTCAATTCTTCAATTTGTTTGAAAATTAAGACAAGAAATGAATGTCTAAGTTACGTCAGACCGACACGTTTGTGATCAATCGCCATTGATTAGAATCGTTGATTATTTAATTGATTAAGAAATGTCTGGAAAGTTTTAGGGTTTCGGTTCAGTTTCGAACTATTTCTGTGGTATTGAAATTCGATTCGAATCAAACCAGTGATTCTCTAATGGTGGGGGCATGCCCCAGAAGGGGGCGTAGACAAATTTTTGAGGGGGCGTAAAGCTAATTAAAAATGAGAATATTTGTTAGACTTGATCTTGCCCGCCTTATTTTTAATACTTACATTTCTTTATTATGGATATTTACGTTCCATTCACATGTTTTTCAAATAAAATATACTTCCGCCTTACTATCTGTTATTTGTAGCTTATTGTTAGCTAGTTGTTTTCAAATTCTAAAAAGGCTCATTTAAAAAGTTCGAGAACCACTGTTTAAAACTATTGCCAAATACTGACAAACTAGATTAATCAAGCTGATCACAACTCGTAGTCATAGGGAGAGAAGTCAACATTGCAATAAAAAATATATTAATTAGTTTCTACAGTTTTAAGAAAGCCCAGGTTGGCGGATGTCAATTATATAAGTATTATTTATTTCGAATAAATATCAAGAGTTTACTTTACTGACTTTACTTTATGTATTTCAATATTCATTACTTGTAGCTGGCGATATTATTAAGTTATCATCCATCTCTCAGCGCTTAGATGGGAGTCTACTTGTATGACTAGTTCTACACAATGGTTCTGATTTAAACAATAATTATGTTGAACACAGCAAAATTTAAAATGCAAATGAAGGAATGTTTTCAAAGCTCATACTCACTTACTCATAACTTAGGAAGTTTATCTCTGAGTGAAGTTACAAGTGACCACTAAAATGTGGAAACACAATGATGTAGTGAATTCCACATATCTTGATAAATTTGAAAAAAAAAAATTCTGTCTGGTTCGCCAATAGCTAACTGATGATAGCTCATTGCTAAGGAGTTATACCAGGGGTGGGCTAGGTTTTTGTGACACAGGCTAAAAATGTTGCCTGCTTCGACTGACAGGCCATGTAAGTGTGACGAAAAAAGTTACATTTTATGAACAATATTTACTGTGTGACAAAAGCAAACAGGGAAAACAATTAGCCTCGTTCCAAAACTGATTTCAATCGCGAGCTATTTTTTTAGCTAGAACATCAAGATTTAGTGTGAGTTTGGTTGTGGCATCATCGGGCGGGCCAGATTGAATTACCGAACAGGCCGGATTTGGCCCGCGCCATAGGTTGCCCATGTCTGAGTTAGATGACTGAAAACTTTTTCAGAATGTATTCGGCTTGGCAAATTATACATTTTGTCTGTACTTTGAGTCTGACGTATGACGAGATGATGCGTCATCATATTCACTGAGTTTCAACAAACAGGAAGTCATCGAACGAGTCACGCTGCAGTTTGGTTTCATACAAACTGGCAAAGCCGAAACAAATCAAGCGTTTTAAAATAAAATATATGTTCAGTGAATTCTGATTTTCAAAAATAATTCAAAATATTCCCATCTGAAATAATTTATGAAAACAAGAGCTCAAATATATAAATGGAGCAATACAGAATAAAACGTGTTTTCATTAAAATGAAATGTAACATCAAAATTGACACCAAAATATGAAGGTAACTAATTTTGTTCTCAACTATTTTACATCAAGTTGTGTAAAAGGACGGGAACCTATGAGCAGGGGATTTCACATAGCTAACACAGACTGTCCCTGAACTCGTAATAGAACTAAGATAAGGAAAATTGGAATAAAATTAGGGCCTAACCCTAACTTGGTACCCATACTACGGGAGTACCAAAGTTTTGTGAAATTTCTGGTTCAGGGAATTTGATAAAAAAGAAATAAAAGTTATATCCTTAGGCGCATTAGTTGTGCTAGAAATGTTATTTCTTGTGACCATTTGTAGTGATTCTCAAAGCGAAATATTTTTTGTTTTCAACAGTATCACATTTCAAGACTTGCGGAAAATGTCACAGAGGATTTCAATGATGACGATAAAAATAAGGACATAGATGAAGCATTGCATGAGTTGGAGGACAGTCTTGGAATGGGGGGAAATAACCCTAAGGTATAGTGTATTCGACCTTATTCAGGGTTAGTCTTGGAATGGGGGAAAAATAACCCCAAGGCAGGGGTCTCAAACTCGCCGCCCGCGGGCCAATTGGGGCCCGCAGGACGATAGTTTGCGCCCCCCGCCTTGGTATGAAAGTTTAATGTTAGTGCGGCCCGTAAGTCACTCAGCTCAGTTAGAATGATTGATGCATTTAATATATGATCAGGACAAGTAGAGCAAAACAAAATATTTTATAATCTATCCCCCGAAAAGCATATGCATTACGGTAACCTACTAGTACCGTACCATGATATTCGATGGACCTTTGACCCCGAAGAAAATTTTTTTATACTTTACCATTGCAAATTCTTGGTTCTTATTTTAGAGGTGGCTTCGCGAGTTGAAGCCTATAAACTGGCGTATATGTTTCGCGTCATCATTTTAATTCAAAACATTCAACAACCTATTTTTCGAAAGTACCGGTAGAGAAGTTTAGCCTTTATCACAGCTATTTCTAGACTAATTTTTGATTACTGCAATTAAGCTCTGACGCACAAGCAATCAGAATGAGTTGAGTTCTTTGATTCATACTTGAATTTCTGAAACACAACCCAAAACTGACAAATAGCATGCAAAAACGAGGTAATGTTTACAAACATGCCTGAAAATCTTTCTGAGTGATGAGCGTGTCTGAGCGTTTGCGAAAAAGTCTATTGTTACGTCATATTAGCGTCTTGCTGATTAGCCAATATTACGGAATAAACAAGGAAGTAGATGCTCGGGGAAAGGTCCATCGCGGAATTACTTACATTTACGTTTTTGACATGATTTGCGTATAGAAAAACAAAGAAAAAGATTTAACTTTTCAAGTTTAATGCTTTTATTCTGAAAAAACCTGATACGGCCCGGACTCACTAAGGCTCCGTCTGGGCAGCCCCCTGGATCACCCTACTAAGGTATAGTGGGGGAAACAACCTCTAATTATTCAGGGGGGGGGGGGGTTATAGTCAGTAATGGGGGGAAATAATTTGGAATGGGTAAAGAGATAATTACATCACATCACAATTTTCTTATCAATTTCAGGGAGACATAACCAGTGTTCCAGAACTAGCGGATTACATCAAATATTTCAAGTGAGTGACATTAACGAGATTTTACTAATTTTGTCGCAAACATCCATTTCCCCAAGAGATTCAAGAATCCTGTAACAAGGGTTGTCCAAAACGAATTAAATATCAGAATATCAAATTGTCGAGGGAAATCTTCGAGGGACGGGGAGAGGCCAACTAGCGAAAGCAAAAAAATAATTGCATTACAGTCTAAGAATTGAACAAATTGCGAATTATACTTGGTGAAGGCATTCGCTTGTAGCACCGAGAACTGCACATTGACCATCTGGTGGGCTGAGGGCCCAGATTGAGAATCCTGATCTATTTTTTCCTCTGAAAAATACTATCCTCTAACCTGCTGCCCACAGGAAAACTTCTGCGGCCCATGGGATTTTGAATAGTGTGCGGCCTGCAAGACAAGTTTTTAATTTAGTTTAATCTAGTAAGTGCGAGAAATTTCAAATCTTTCGCATTGCAAAGCCTATATCTGAGCTTATGCAAAGCGAACAACGCATGTTACAAGAAGAAAAACTACTCAGAAGTGTCTGCAACTACTAGAAAGCCTATGCTAAGTCAAGGTGCGGCCCGTGGCTTCACCCAGTTATTTGAAGGTTGCACACCTTGTAACCAATAGCTAGTTTTTACTATCAGCAATTTGGACAGTTTCTTTCACGAGCATGCAATATTTTTATACTGGTTTACCTGTCAAACTTTTAGGCCGAAAAAACTCATCAAATCATACAAGAAGCATTGGTTCACATTCAAGGATACAACGATCTCATATTTCAAAAGTCAGGAGGAAGCTGCAGCTCACAGCCCAGCTATTGATCAGGTTCATATAAAAGAACTTTTTATACAATAAGTATTTGTAATTTCACTTTGAATAAGAAACACTAATATCTAACAGTATCAAAGAAACTATTACCGGAGTTATTTTGGTTTTCCCACCCAATTTATTTCACCCTGTGAGAGGGTTTTAACATGAATCTGAAATGTGTAATCCGCAGTCCAAACACATTTATGTCCAATGTTCTGGCCAATCACACCAACTTTGCCAAATAATGTTATCTCTAAGCTAAGTTATGAGCGATAACTTGCGGCCTTGTTAGACTTCAATCATAATCGCATTAAAGCATCGAAATCACGGATTCGAATGCCCATGACCTCAATAAACTCTTGCGATCATTCAATAGCTATAGCAGTGTTTCACATTTTCTCAAAATATATCTTCAAGTAGTTCTCAAATTTTGAAATGAAGTTTTCTAGTCAGTACTTCACAGCTGCGGAACCTTTGGCACAATTTGAATCACCTATGAAACAAAGCTTACAAACTCACTACAAGCCAGACGTGTACCCTGGCTTCACAGCACTAATCATAATTTATGCTTCATAGTTCTGTGTGAAAGGAGCGGAGGTCATACCAGATGTGAATATCAAGGATAACAAGTATGTGATCAAACTATTGTTGCCAACGCATGATGGAATGACGGAGGTCGGATTGAGATGTGATAATGTGAGTTAATGTTAGTCTAAGGTTCATTAGAGAGGATGAAAAACTAGTATAAACAAACGACTCATACATCGGGGGTGGACAAATTTCCGCCCCGCTTAGTGTTTCATCACTTGTGTCTGCTGAAATCACTTTTTAGAGATAGATAATTACATCATAATGACCCCGATTGTTATATTGTGCTTGTTATTATCATATAAACGTCAGCCTAGATTTTCTAACTGTTTTTTTTTTTATAGTTTTGAGTTTTTAGCCCCCGACCCAGTGACCAAATTACTTTTTTTTATAAATGGCCCACTCAGTAAAGTAATTGCCCACCCCTGCATTAAATTGTCCCCACCAATCATAAATTTGCTGTTGCACATTGTCTTATCCTGGGTTGGTATTATGTAGTTCAGTTTAATGCTGGCGTTGTTGCAACAACAACAAACAACAATTTAACGAAGCGAGACTTTAGATCCACTCCATGTCCAATAATCATCGTTAATGATTCCCATTCCAGGATGCAGTGTACTCTCGATGGATGGCGGCTTGCAAACTGGCAGCTAAAGGCCGAACAATGGCTGATTCGAGTTATAATTCCGAGGTCGACAATTTGAAGACTCTGTTGAAAATGCAGAAAACAGGATCAGGAGGAACGCACAGCGGTAAGAATCATGGTTGTTTCTCTGTTGGTGAATTATTTCGAATCTACTCTCAAGCAGTAAATCAGTACACTTTTACTTCTGAAATTTGAAACCTTTATTTTTTTGGGTGTATCATCTGGCCATTCTTATTAATAGATCTGATGGTCCTTACACATCGCTTGGTATCAGTGTTGCTGGCACAGGCATGTGAGCGTAATATAGGAAATAGCCTACCTTAGATTTGGGAGTAAATCTTTAAACATTTCAATACTTACTCATTTGATCAAATGGCTTTGTTAACTCAGTATAAACGCATAATAATTAAATGTACACAAACATAACCAAAGTAACTCCCAAAAACGCGCCAACAGTAATGAGCCCTCAAATACATGGCTACTTCACCTTCACAGCTGTTTGGTCATGATCAGTCAACTGTGACTGATGACATCACTGGTTATGCTCAGCCATCTGGGAAAATACTAGTTGCCAGAAGTATGATAAAGATACAGTAAACAGGTTTACAATACCTCTGAAATAGACTTCTTATATCCCTTCCTCTCATTCTGCAGTTGAAGGGTCCGGAACAGTCGACAACGTGAATATTGAGCCGGAATATTTCATTGCTAGAAGACATCTGAAGAAGCTTGGCAACAAGGTGAGATGTCCAACAAATATTTGATATATCAGAACCAATCCTTTTCCTTATTAAGGGGGGAACTTTGCTCGAAAGCAAGATCATTTGCACTTATTCAGCAATCAAGGAGATTGATCTTTTGTGTGATGTTTCCCACTCATGTGACAAGGGCTACTGAGAATGTGAAGAATTATAGTATAGAATTAGGTACTCCCGTAGTGTGTGTACCAGGTTAGGGTTTGGCCATAATTTTATTCCAATTTTCCTCATTTTAGTTCTATTTCGAGTGTGTGGACTGTCTGTGTTAGCCAAATGATTGAACAAAATCAGTCAATATGTGTCTAGTCTATTAGTCCATATTTCTGGAGCGCCTAGAATTGTGCATTAATAATATTAATTAAGACCTGAAGCAGTTCGTGCCAATATAACAACCCCTTACAGGACCACGAAGTGTTGAAAGTCTTTGGAAAGTTTGAGGCTAACAACTGGGCTACACTGTACCTTTTTTACCAGTTATGCTAATGGCATTTTGACTTTCACTGCTGGCAAACAAATTTAATTCCACGTTTCCCAGCCACGGGGGAATATCTTCCTTAAGAAAAAGATATTTCATCATTCTCGAGCAGAAAATTCCAATTTTTCTAATAATCTTTAGTATTTACAGAAATATATTTGTGTAAGTGTGCAGCAAGACTCTTGAATTAAATAGAATAATCTTTAGTTATTTAGTATTTCTATTTATGAACGCATTATAAACGATTTAGATGAAAGCAGAAGTGCGACCCGCACATAAGACCGGATAAGGGTTAATTAAAGATTCAATAAATAAAATAGTTTTCGTGCATTGTGAGGGAATAATAGAGAGTTCCAAAATAAACCAATGAATTGAGAGATAAAACGAGAATATCGGTCAGAGACCGAGGACTTATCGATCAAAAGTTAGGGGATCCCCCAAAACAGCGCTCTTACTCCATAGTGACACCTTGTGTCCCATCACTAATTAATTAATAACTCGCTAATTATACGACATAATTCGCCCAAAATCAATAGGCTACTGGTCCGAGATATGATGAAAGCACATGAAAAATCTGGAGCAGATTCAATCTTGTTTTCGTGAGATATCGCGTGCATCTAACAGACAGACATACAGACAAATACCTATCAACATACTTACCGATTAAAATCGATAAGTAACAATGGGAATCTGACTGATCCACCTAAATGAAATTTTTTTATTTCAGCATGTTGTCAAGAAGATTCAGGAATCAGTGACGTACTACAACACTTACAATTCAATAAATGCTAAGCTGGCTTACATCAAGGCCTGGCAAGCTCTGCCGGAGTTTGGTTTAACTCATTTCTACGTCAGATTCAAGGGACAAAGGAGGGAGGTGGGTGGTGATTTATCAATGTTTCATATTCAAGTAAAACTCTATGGCAGGAGTGTGCTACCTTTAATTCAAGAAGGCCAGATACAAATAACTAGGTGACACCTTTATTTAACACAACATCCACACAAGCTAGCTGTTAGGGCATTGTATTGTCTACCCTATGTAAACAAATTACACTAGATGATTAAGAGATTGTTTAGTGGGCCTTACACCAATCAAAATTGGCACTTCTATTCCGGCCGCATAGTTTTTCCTTGTGGATTTGGCCCGAGGGTTGCAGACCCCTGCATTACGGGAATTTTTTATGCAACATGTATTTATATGCCTTCAGTTTTGAACAAGGTTCTGCGCAAGTGCTAAGTTTACAGGTACCATTAGGGGGGAATGGAAATTTGTTCAGCATCACCTGGCCAATTTATTCCACCCCCGGGCGAGGGGGCGGGCATGGGATTAATACTCATTTCGTGGGAGAGGGAAGGCTACCTAATCATATGGTGTTTTACGGCCTCTCATCTGGCTATCAGTACCGCTGACAAGCTCGTCAATTAGATATAAAGCAACAACTTTTCTTTCATCGTGGTCCACTGTCATCTTGATTTTTTCAGGAGCTTGTTGCATTTGCATTTAACCGTCTGATACGAATGGACCCAAATACTGGAGAAGCATTGAAAACTTGGAGATACAACACAATGAAGGTAGCTACGTTTTGTCCAACACTATGTTTAACCAGTGGGGTTGGGAATGTCAGGGAAAACACTTCAACCGTTAACAGTATCTGAGATGTCGGTTTACGGTTAAAAAAATCGTAACCGTTAACCATCTAAAATTGATTAACCGGTTAACCATTCCCAGCCCTACTAACCAGGCATGTGGACATTTGACTCCTGGTTTTGTAGAATAAGTCGACTTGAGCACCAAACTCTGAGGAAATTTAAACCTTGGCGCATACAAGCCTTCTTTTATAGAGTGCCGGAAAGGCTGTGTAAACTGATTGCTTTTTGAGTTGAATTCTATTACTATTGAAAGCTGAAAAAGTTTGAAAATATGTTTTCAATTCTAGTGAAACCATACCAGTTTCTGTCTTTAAATAGATCTAGTATTAACAAGGTTCACCAAGTACTTAGATATGGGTCCCTACAACAGTTAATTAAAACAAATTTATGTCAGTTGTTCATGAAACTTTATGTTGCTGATTCATTCCTTGGAATGCTCAGAGTTTGGCATTCATTTTGGAGATGCAAGTCAAAACTCTTGCAAGTGGTCGTTTTTGGGGTCAAGTAGGGCTGGCATTTTCGAATACCTGATGATTTCAGGACCGAATCTCGAATGCTTAGAAGATATTTAAATTCAATGTATGAGAGACATATTGTGTATGGCATATTTATTGTAATGGATCTTTCAAACTTTTAAATTACTGAAAACATAGAATCCATCACACAAGACAGTTCATCAAGTGTTCACACTTAAGAATAAACATTTTTCATCAATAACTTACTGGAAAGAAAAAAGTTATATGCTCGAAGTACATTTTAGTGACATGGTAGCGACTCAAAAAATTGACGTATTCATCTCAACATTTGCCAGACAAAACAAATAGATGGCAGTGATCAGAATTTTTCACCTGAAACGATTGGAATTATTTACTATTCGATTCGAAATGCAATAGCCGCAAGTTATTTTGAGCTGTGAAATTATGACACAGAGTGACAACTACACATTGAGTAATGTTTGATTCGATAAATTCTTCTAGGAATGGAGCGTGAACTGGGAATCCAAGAATCTTATGATCCATGTTGCTGGGGGAGACGACGTTAACTTCTTGTGCTCAAAACAATCGTAAGTTATGTTTTATTATCAGTTTGGGTTCGCGAGACTACCCATGCTTTTGCATGAGTGGATCTGTATGCGTCTAATACAAAGATACTGTAGCTAGAATAAAGATCGCTAGTCCATGTGATTTTCAAAAGCATTTCTGTAGCGTTTCACCTGACCAAGGTTCTAATTTATGCAATCTAGAGAGTTGTACACCTTACCATACTTGGAGAATATCAGGAGAGTTCAGGGTCTTGATTTTCAGAAATCAACTTCTCGCCAATTCACCACTCTTCGAAATTTTCTTTCAGCCCAAATGCCAATCAAGAACAATTCCTGTCCTTCATAGTTATGTCCTTTGCATATCAGATGCTTGCCTGTTCATAAGATTGTTGTGTCTCACTTGGCTTATATTTCAATAATATCCTACATTTCGCTCTTGTAGCTACTTCTCAATATTTTTCAATCCTTGATTTTAGTCCCAAACTTCTCCATGAATTCCTGGGCGGATACATTTTCCTTTCGATGCGAAATAAAGACAACGACGACAGACTGGACGAAGATTTGTTTCATAGATTAACAGGAGGATCGATCGATCATGAAAAATAGTTGCAGAGGAAACTGTTACCCCTGCAACAATAACAACCTAACATATCATGAACTTACACAATTTGGTATCAAAGGTGGAATCTGCTGCAGTGTTATCACCAACAGCTCTGGGGTCAGAAAGTTTCAAATCCGAGCCATTCCAGACTTCGGCTTCATTCACTAGAAATCTCCATTCAAATACGAACTAAGTCATACTACTGCGTCACCATGTACATTCCTTATTCGAAATGATATGAGAGGAAAGTGACGAGACAATAGCCAAGCGAGTGTCATGTTTATATCTTTTGCTGCCTTTTTTATGTAAATGTATTTTAAATATTTCATTGAGTTTTATTTTCCCATAGGAATGTGCTGGTGAACTGAGATTCAAAAAGTTGACAGGCAGAATTCTGTTATGCATAAACGGCAAAATGCAGAATTCTGTTATGCTTGATTGGTTTATATTAATTTTTCTAGTACTTTTCGGTGATTCTTTCTCGAAAAGTATACATTGTTGTTTGCGTGATTGTTGTGCGTCCTTAATTATTTGATTTGTAAATTAAATGACCGTTATTGGCAGACTATGAGAACCAACCAATCTTTCAGGAATATAACTAAATAGGTATTGGTTGTTGTTTTAGTAATTGATTGTAGCGTTATCTCGGAGTGCACAGGACTTTGCAAATTAAAAAAAATCAGACTCACTTGCCGAACGTTTTCTTGTTGCGATCAAAATGCTTTACTCGCAGTTGCCCATTTCACACAAAACTTATTTATAAATCATGACAGTTTATCTTCAAAATAAAGCCTGTAAATATCTTGCACTAATCGTCTGGTGACCTTATGATGTCATATTTTGTATTGTAATGTCATAAAACCATATACCGGTAACCAAGTTATGAATTTTTCTTTTTCTTCGTAACTTCAGTAATAAATAACGAAATATATATTGGATTGGTCTGTAAGCCTCAGTTGAGATATTTTTTTATACAAGCACCATTGGAATAGAAAATAGCTGAACCTAACTTCTCAAGTTCAGCACAACTTGTCACCAACTAGCACCACCATAAATTGCAATTGACAATTCTGTTAGTTTTTTGCAAATACAGGATTTTTTGAGACTGAGAAAATTTTTAAACGCAATCTGAGTTTGTGTACAAAAATGTTGGTCGTTGGTACATTCGGCAGGCAAATAAATGGCATACCACAAAAACGTGTTTTCATATAAATTAGTTTGCAGGTCCAAGGTTTGCTGATCCCTGCTATGAAGCAAAGGGATAGCAATATAATCAGCAGTCGAAGAAGTTAGAACAACACTGCGGAGATCATCAAGCTGTGATATACTGTATTGATATTAGCTGCCCACGGACGCACCAGGCACATGGCGTGGTGCAGTTTTTACTACCGTACTCTCAGCCTGGTCGGGTGATATGTGCTGTCTTTTCATTATTTTCAAAACGTCATCAACATGGTCTGAACTCACTTTGATTGAACATTAATAATTACCAACCTAGAACCCAGTTGCATTTCCTCATTTTGAAGTTTGATACAGTGATGAACTCTTGCTGTGTATACATCGAACCGGTACTGATAAAAGTCATTTCCTAGTTGTTAAAGTAACCGTTTTTCTCTATAGCGACATCTTGAGGATCATTTTTCGAAAATAGATGGATGAGAGCTTGTTCATGATCATGGAAGAAACAGTCAACAATTAAACGTGAAATACAATAAAAACTCGCATAACTAAAACAAATAAATAATAACAGAATTGTGGTAATTAGGTACCGTGTTTCCTCAAAAATAAGACCGGGTTCTATTTCAATCTTTTTCCCAAAGATAACACTAGGACTTAATTTTGGGTGATGTATTTTATTTTCATTTATCAGAAACAAAATAACAAAGTAGAGAATAACGAGATTTTCAAATTTATAAATAACACGTTTTTTTTTATTTAAAGTAACTAAACATAAATCCTTCAAAACGTAGTAGAAGAGATTTCTAACATCAAAAATACTGTAATGGAAGTTGAGAGTTTAACATTGTTAACTATTTTGAAAAACTCCAACCTCGGCATGATCGATTTGATCCAATGGATTTTCAGTTAAGCTTATTTGTTACAAATGCTTAATACGGACCTAATCACTTTGAGTGTTATGGAGTATGTGTGTACGAATCCAAATTTGGGACGGGTGCCGCTTCTTTTAGCAACTTCTCAACGACAACCCTATGTTTTGGAGATACTGGATTCTATAATCATTTTTTTTTATCAATTATTCCATTGCCTGCTATGCTCATAATGGAGTCGAAATAAACGTATACTCATTAGGCATGACGACAGAATGCCATCCGAATGCTGACTATCCACTCGCTCATTCATACTTACTCGGCTCGGCGATGTGGCGTATCGTGCCTAAGCGTTAGGAGTACCCTCGCCACTGCATCTCTGATTACCCTTCGTGGGATCGCAGGTTCGAATCCCATGCGGGGATGATCATGTGCAAGAGGATTGCTGGACTCCTCGCTGCCGTAGGGTGCTTCACGTAACCGCTGGTCGGTTACGGCTTCCTCCACCATCAAGTCCATGCTTCCGAAAACAAATAATATAACTAATCCCATACCAGACTTGGAATGGTAACCGGATGAGAGGCTGTGGTTCGCCATATGGATAAGCCGTCTTATCGGCTTTCCTCTCCCCCAGGATAAATAAATATGTAAATCCTAAATCCTGATCAGCTGCCGTGGAATAAATAAGAAAATCTAAGTAAATGATCATTCCAACATTTCCCACAAGCAGCAAATATTTTCAGATCTTTCAAGACTGAAACCGTGAAATTTTAGTTAAAAACAAAAGAGAACCTATTCTTAAAATTCCTTAATAAGAGAAGATTGGAATTCAAACTGTCCACTCGGAAAAATCCTGGGAAACTGAAAATATACCTCGAAGATTGAGGACCCACATCACCGGGTCTGCCCCCCAATACCAGATACATAAGTAAAAGAGTAAGAAACTTTCTATATTGATCGAAAAAAGCATAGAAAAATAATTGCAGAAAAAATTACAAAAAAGGAACGATTTGTAATAAAAATATTGAAATGATTTACGGAACATCATGCACGAGATGGTTAGAAACCTCAGGTTTGCTGAGCAGTATAGCCAGAGACAAACTCCTGAGACTAGAATAGATAAGTGAGAGATTCTGCCATTGTAACAATACAATTAAGCTGCTGCTAAATGATGATTGTACTTGAAATATCTATTATTTCCATACATTTGTATGAATTTCGGTCAGAGTTAAGGTTTGCAAAAGCCGCATGAAGCCAAAAAGTTTTCTAAAGACAGAATTAACCGCCCAATTCATTACACCCTGAGCAGGCAGTGGGCACAACATTTGAACCTGAGATACCACTGCTTTACCATTAGGCACTTACGCCTATTGATCAGAAGTTTCATGATTTCAGGACAAATAAGTGAGTGATAATATGATTTTGCAAGCTACCGTCTCTAATTTTACATTTGCAACCACAAGTTGAGTGCATGGGGCCTTGCTATGAGCAAACTGACACGATAAGTTTAGACCAGGGGTTCCCAAACTTTATTGACCGCGGGCAAAAATTAGAATCGAAAGGGTGTTCCCTGAAAGTGTGCAACGGTTTAGCTGGGGTTCTGTGGATTCACATTTGACATTTTTTTAAACAAGTTTGTTTGATTCATAATGGCGCTTTATGTCGTATTGTTTTATAACTTGAATAGTTCGTCGGCAAAGTGGACAAATCGCTGAAGTGTGATTCTTTTCAATACAGAAATACGAACGATGCCATTTATCGGAGTAACATCTGTTTTCAGAGTCTTGTATATTATTTGACATCTCTAACCTTTCTTAAACGGCTGATAACTAAATTACTGCCCTATGTAATCCTAATACGGTATGTATAATTGAGATACCGGCATAATCGAATTGTTACCATGAACACGAGCTTAAACTGTGATAATGACATAACAATTGGCGGTTTCTAGATTGTAAAAAGGTAGAAACAAAATCTATTTCATTGTTTCACTTAAGCTCGGCGGGCTATTTTAAATCGTTACGCGGGCCGGAGTTGGCCCGCGGGCCGCGGTTTGGGAACCCCCTGGTTTAGACTAAAAGCAGCAAAATGTCGGATAAAATGAATTTGATATTGTGAATTCTCGATTCTGTGTATAAATATATTCTTTGGATCAGGTCAGTATCGGGCAGGCATAATATCAACCTCTCTCTCTCGCAAGATATTTGGGATTGCAAACCCCTGGGGATTTGAGAAACATTGGATTCGTTCATTAACAAGCAAATATAATATTTTCTCACAGCAGAAACTCGACCATAAAACATTTTTCATAAAACTCATGCTACGACCCATTACAAACAAGAAGCCATTAATCCAGAAAAATATGGCAATTATATGAGCATCACAATACATGATAGGTATCCCCTGATTGCTAGCAGGTATATTCGTATTGATGATAAACAAAGCACAACCGGTGTTAGCAAAACAATTTATTTTGCTTACGTTTCGAATCTTGCCCTGATGAAGTTTTTCTGAATAGAAATTCAAAATGTCAGCAAATTAAATCGTTTTGCTAACACGGGTTGTGCTTCATTATGATCTGTTTGCAATAGTCGAGTATCAATTCACATTCTTAGCGGGGAACATGTTTTGCCAATGTGCCATGGAACCCTAACCATACCGTTGTGCCGGGTATTTACATTTCTCTATTTTGGGTATTTATGTTCAATCCACATATTTTTTCGAATAATACATACTTTCGCCTTAGTTATTTTTGATGTGGGCCAAGAGGCTTGACCAATTCTAAATCGGGGGCGAGAAAAGTTTGAGAACCATCGCTCTACACCAAGGGTGGGCAAGGTTTTTGGACCAGGAACAAACATTTTGCCCACCTAGACTGGCGGGCCATGTAACTTTGACGTAATAAGTTACATTTTTTGAACAACATTTATAGTGTTACAAAAGCAAAAGTGGAAAACAATAAGCCTTATACCAAAAATAAAATTTTATCGCAATCTCAACAAATTTCTTGAGCCATTTTCAAGCTGAAACATTAAAATTTGGTTTTAGTTTGGTTACGGCAGCATCAGATAGGCTAGATTGAATTACTCAACAGGTCGGATTTGGCCCGCAGGCCATAGTTTGCTCATGTCTGGATTTGGACAATCAAGTCAATGCGAAATTGGCAGATGTACAACAGAATTAGTTCTTGTATGGCCGTTAACAATGCTGTTGGCCAGTCACAGCTTTTATCAGAGTTCAGTTTTGTGTATTTCTGAAACCTCGATTTGTGGGTCAGTTTAGTCATGGGTAACCTTGAGTCAAGTTCAAATCCAAAGCCAAGTTGAATCACATGGGTGGGAGACTTATCATTCGAAAGGATCGAGTTACCAGTCCATGGCGAGTATGGGATTAGCCAGTTATTTGTTTCAGATGGTGACCGTACATTCGAACCCATGTGTATATCCGCGGGTTCAATCTATATGCGGGTGCTGAACCCATGGGTTAGGGTTCGAATGGGTTCAAATATCCGTAAAACAAAAAAATTTCCGTAGGTGCAATAGTATGCAGGTGCAATTGTCATGGGTTCAAATGTAGGTGAGTTTAAATGTAATGGAACCATTTCAGATGCATGGGCAGTGACTTAATTATTATGGGTCTATTACTGTGGATGCCCAAGTTTTAACCTGGTAACTTCTATATAAAACAATTAAATGAAGGTTTAACACATCAGATAAAAGTTCAAATCGGTAGAAAAGCTTTCAAAAAAGTTCAAAAAGAGAATTGACAACAAAATGAATCTCGGGCTCCATTAACTGATTAATATATCCACTCGTTTCCTGGAAAGCTGGACGCGATTCGATAGATAAACACAGCCCTGACCGTAGGAATGCTTTGCATTTGACTTCATCTGGACCGCTAACTGGATGTTTTTTTTTCATGAATAAAGCCTTAATCCTGAGATTGCTTTGCAGAAATTAAATCTTCTGCAGCAGTGGTTCTCAAACTGTGGGACGCGCCCCATAATAGCAACGTAGAAAATTTTTCGAGGAGGTGAAGCTAATTATAATATTTTTTAGATTTGATCTTGCCCGCCTTATTTAGGATATTACATTTCTTTATTGTTTAGAGATTGCGATTCTATCCACGTATTGTGTATTTTGAGGTGGGGTGCGAGATTTGACAAAATCTAAAAGATTCCTAATAAGTTTGAGAACCACTGATTAGGAAAGACTACTATATTCAGACACTTATCATGCTGTGTTGGTTACTTGGCTCGAACCTTAAGATCCCAGATCAGGGTTACCTTGGTCAAAAATTGGATTAAAATGAAACAGGTCTATCTATGTTAGAGGTAAAATAGGAAAGCCCAATGCTTTGTAATATAACTGTCAGTAGAGGTTAGGCGAGACTAACTCCCAATCCTCCGTCAATGTTTCTGCGCTAGTGGACATGTATGCGTATAACGCAAGGATGCTGTAGCAAGAATAAACATCACAATACTATGTAATTCTTGTTATATATTAGGCTTATTCACGCCTTGGGTCCTGTTCACAGGTCCACTGATATCACACTATAAAAGGACCGGCGTCTTCCAGATTAAACATTGTGAACCCAATATTTTACTTCCCGGGTGAGATGGGATTTGAACCCGAGATGTCTGATCTACGACACAGTTAATTCTCAAGCTCCGAACACTTGGCCATCGTACTAAGAAGTATTGCTGAATAAAACTCAATCGAGAGATCGATCACCAGCTAAGTCATTGCTCCTCATAATGCATCTCTGCATTCAGTAGTGCTGCCATCTCATCAAAATCATCATCATCACTTTCATCTTCCTGTGAATCTTTGTTCAAAGTGGGATCTTCCTCCACTAAAGTCCCGAGATTCTCACTGCTTTGGGGTTTGTTCATGGCCGACGTTCCCTGCAACCGGTCTTCTGCAACAAAAACAAACATTTCACTAAAGATTCACGGGGCCTTATCAGGGCTTGGTTTGTGACTCAGGTGACATATGCTCTCAAATACAGTATTTTCAATATTGTTTTTCCTTTCCAAAATATCTACTACATCATCGCAAAATCAAAATTAAATTAATTTTCTTGAGATAAAACTAGGAGGCCGAAACATAACATACCTTCGCCTTACTGTTATTTGTAGCTTTTTTGAGAGAGAATTCAATCAAAGCAAGATCGCACTCTTTCAAATGCTACAGGCAACCAATGAGAATCAGGGTACATCACGCAAACTCAGACATTAAAAGAGACTGATCCGTTGAAATGGGGAATTCCCCACCCATATGTTGGTCTTATGGTCCTAATCTCTCCTATATGATCTCTGGTATGGTTTGTTATTTTATACGGTACTAACCGTAAATAAATGGTATAGTAGTTTCAAAACTCTTCGATTCATAGTTTTTTAATTAGATAATAGAACCCTGGGTGTCGCTGCTCGATAAGCAGTTTGGTTCCCCGCGACTTCCCGTCCCCATAAAACTGAGTAAATTATATTTTTATCAAACCATTTATGATTGTGATATTTTTTACTGGTTGGAAAAAATAAACTTGACTTGACTGATCTCTGAGTAACGTAACAGTTGCCACTGAGTTGCGAAGAAAGAATTGGCAGTTTAGCCCTATTTTTATTAAACTTCCAGAGTCTAGTTTCATTCAAGCAATTTTATACTTCAATGGTGTTGGAAGAAGTCAAAATTTTCCAAAAAACTCAAATTTACTTGGTGCTTCTAACAAATTAAAAAAGAAGGCTCGTTCACACCAACAAATTTCCCTAAAATTTGATTTTATGAAGCTGGATTCAAAGTCTGAATATATTTTTTTTACAACCCTCAAGCAACCAATGAGTTATTATGATCAGACAGAAGTAAAATTCGCCACTGGATTGCCAAAAACTACCGAAAGAATTAGCTCAAGCAAAGGTGTTTATGTTTGAGTGAAATTACTAGCAATCACAGAGCTACTGAAAGAATTTGCTCATGGCAAAGTCAAGTGCACTCACTTAGAATTAAATGACATTGATCTCTGAGTAACATTATGAGGGACTATTGAAATACCCGTAACATGACACCATAATTCTATATTGTATCAAAGGCTCTTAAAACTTTACTTGTCTCATGTAACTTGGCTTAAAGATAAATCCCCTTTATTTATGAGTGTCAAATTCAATGAAGAAAATAAAAACCTTCGAATCTGGCAGGAAACCACCACATTACCTGTTTTATCTTCCTCCTCGTCGCTACTCCCCAGTAAATCATCGACTTCCTTGTCCATATCAGCGATATCGTCAGTAGAAAGTGAATATCCGATGCCAACAATCTCTACCATACTTCGTTTCCTACTTCTTGCGGCGACTGGCATGGTGTTGCTTTTAGACAAAACATTATGTTTCCATGACGATGGGGTTGAACATTTCTTGGCAACGGGATCAACAGGCACGACTTCATCGGGAACGAGAAGTGATGAATATAATGGGGCTTGCGGTTCTTTCTTTCGATGCTGGGATTCGGCCACCATGAAACTAAATCTTGGGTCTTGTACCTTTTTAATTAGTTTCCCAGTCACAGGATCGTAAGTTCCTTGTGTTCGGTTCTGGAGAATTATCGCTTCCTGAACTTTCTCTGCTGGAACAATAGATTTATCTTTTTCTATATATTTATTAGGAACTGGGAATATTTTTTCTTCTACTTTTTCCCAGCGTTCTGAGCAGCACCAAAGCCATTCAACCGCAACCATTTTGATCTTTTTCCGCTTCAATGCATCTTGGTATTTTGTCGTTCCTTTTTTCATTGCAATGAGATGCGTGGTTCGATCCGAAACATCATCTTCCACCTGTGCCCCGAGTTGTCGCGCCGTAACGTGGGCCCGATGTCGATGCTTGGGTAGCGTGAACGTCTGGGGTATGACACCGGTGAATACGATAGAACATCCGTATAGAACTTTACTTCGTAAGAAAGGGACGACTCCTCGCACATCAGGTAAATCTTTGAAGTCTTTATTGAGATATTTCTCGTAAGCTTCGTAATATGTGTTATGAATCTGCGTCAAAATATCTTGCAAATATTTCAAATAATCGTCATTATCTTGAAAATTTTGACGCATGTCGCTGCTCTCTTCTTGTGATGATAAAGCATTCACGAATTCTTGACTCTCTCCACCTTTGCTGAAACCGCTCAACTCACGTTGAAATGTCTCCTGAGAGGATTCCGGCTCTTGCGAGGACACAGGTAACGTTTCTCCAGAAGAACTATTCCCTTCCACTTCAGATTTCGTTTCTTTGCCATTTGGTAATTTTTTTGCTTCAATCAGCCCATTTTTTGTATCAGAATTTTCTTCTGATGTTACAGAGTTTTGTTCTTTCTGCTGTGACTCATGAGATACACTGGGCGATTTGTCACCATTTTGTTCTGAGGTTTGATCGACCGACGGTTGCAATAAAGCTTCGGACTTCTGTGTATCTTCGCCATCCGAGGTTGAATTATCGCTACTGCTCGTACTTGACCCAGAGTCTGAACTCGATTCGGAATCAGACGAAATATTCAAATCATCGTCCACCTCGTCTTTGGTGACAATTTTATTTTTATTCGAATCCAGTGGTCCATCAATATCTTCCTTCGTTCGTTTTGCATCAGAAACTCTCTCTGTTCCTTCTTCCTCAGATTTGCGTTTGCGTCGACTCACTTCAATTTCTGTTTTCTGTAGTTCCTTCTTGTATGGATTGTTGATGTCGCCTGTCCCTTGGAAATAATTATACTTTCTGACCATGATCAAGTTTGGCACGGCGTTCCAAACATCATCCCTGTCATCAATAATGCAAACCATAGAATCGCCACAAGGAAATAAATGTCGAAGATTTCCAGATTTTTTAAACGGATGAATGCACTCATCTCTTGACAGGATCCGGTGAGCAAAATATTTTTTTTCTTTATCAATGAAGTCAGCAATTTTGTGAGCGTACTGCCGTGAACCGAATGTAACGATTTGCAATTCATAACGCTGAGATATTTCTTTCAAAAACTCACGACAATGAGGACGAAGTTTCGTGAATAGCATTGGGTCATTTTTACTGAGCTGGAAAGAATAAAATTCATCTGTGGAATGGCAAAGAGCTGCGAGCCCTGGATCTTGTGTCGTATGAATCAATGTTTGATCCAAATCCACCAATAATACAAGTTTTTTCATCCGATGAAGTCTGTTTTTATCTTGTTGTGCGATTTCTTCCGCTTGTTCAGCGCTAATTCGCAGCTCAGGAATGCTCGGAATCATAGAAACGGTAGCAGAATGTGATTTCTGTCTTTCATGCTTGGCCCGGCCCTCATCTATCATTCTGAGATCCTGACCGCACTCGGCACACATATCCTTCATCACAACTGGGTGAGCGCAACCTGAAAAATTAAAAGCATGAATCATATGACGCCAACATAGTCGAAATTTATTGCAAAATATATTACGATGTTTTAGTTTTCCAGGTTATCATTTAAACCAGTGGTGCTCGAACTTTGAGACGGCCACAAGGGGGCGTAGACAATTTTTATTAGGGGAGGGCATGTCAAGCTAATTAAAAATGAAAATATTCTACTATCTACGTTCCATCCATGTATTTTCAACATGTTTTACGAATAAAACATACTTTCACCTTACTATCTGCTATTAAGGAAATTATAAATGAAAAAAAAAATAGAGCCGAAGCCTCCAAAAATAATGGTAGCCCCGGTCTCAGCAAAATGTCTCCAATCAACCTCACCCGTTTGATTAACATACATATATGACAATAATTACACTTGGCCCTAAGTATAATACTACATAACCTGTTGTGTTCTATTGACTTTGAAATGAAATATCTAACCCCCTTCCTTCAACCTAACCTAGCTGAAATTTATCCAACAAAGTGCAAACATTAAGCATACAATTTGATTTGGTTATTCCTATTCAGCACAACAATACTAGGACAGGATTTACCTATTTATCCCGGTGGAGAAGAAAGTCGATAGACCGGCTTAATCATATGGCTAACCGAAGCATCTTGTCCAGTTACCATTCCATGTCGGATATGGGATAAGTTAGTCAGTTGTTTTTGGAGTGGAAGTGGTGGAGTGGAAGTGGTGACTTCTCTACAGCCCATGAGCCGAGGCCCATCTAATTGGGCCGCAGCCCATTAGCGATGGACCGTAAATTTCAAGTCTATTACGACAATTTATACAATTGTAATATGTGAAAATACTTAAATTGAGTAAAGATAAACTTTAGGTCTGGTATAGTATAGTACCACATGCAGCCTACTTCTGGTTGGTCTGGCTCAATTTATGTATACGTCATTCCTAACCCTCACCTGGCAACGTCACCAAAAAATTTAAGTCACATGGGCCATGGCCCATCGCCAATGGGCTGCGGTCCTATTATATGGGCCGTGGCACCGGCCCATAGGGAAGTCACTTCTCACCACCCCTGTAGTGTTTTTGGATGCATGGATGATGGAAGAAGTCGTAACTGACCAGCAGATACACAAGAACCACCCTCAGGAGGCGAGGAGTCCAGCAATCCTCTCGCATATAATTAACCCAGCACAGAATTCGAATCTCGAACCCACGCAGAGTAATCAAAAATGCCATGGCGAGCGTATTCTTAACACTTAGCATGATGCTGCCGAGCCATATCGTTCAACCACATATGGATCCAATATCGAAGCAGCCAAGGGTAAAGGACTTCAATATAAACTTATAGACAAAATATACTTATACAATGCATTATAGAATTCATTATAACACAATGTTATGCTTCCGATATTATTAAATTCCCATGTTATTAAAATCTCTCTCTAAAGTTTCAATCAGCATATAGATATCATCTTCTGCAATGCTAGCGGCACATTGTCTTTTGAGATTTCATAGTTTGGCCGCAAAGCCGTGGATTTCACATTGTTGAGTCACAACAATGCAACCCCAGGGGAAATCTCCGCAGTGTTTGAATAAGCACAAATTTTTCTCTAATAGTAGAGGATTTAAAAAAATAACAACACATAAAAACACAACTGAATACTCCTGAAAATCTCCTTGTGAACCCCAGGTTGAGAGCCCTAGTTTATGGAATTCACTAAAATAAAATGCTATGCTTCCCACCTTCTATTTCCAGTAGAACGCCCTCAGAAATGGCAACTTGGCCTTCGTGCATCAAGAACATTTTCACTGTCCCAACATGTTTCGATTTCAGATGTAATTCTTTCATCTTTGTTTGCTTCGTTGGATCTTCCACGTGTCGATATATCGCAAGAGGTGTGCCATGTTTTATCCATTCCCCTTTCTTTACCAACCATTTCAATATTCTAATCGGTTTATGCCCAGGTACATGGACAAGTTTTATTTCCGCCATTACTGACTAATCAACCCTGCGAATAAACATGGTACGAAGAAGGAATACGAATGTTATTAGACTAAAATAAGACAATGTTCCTCATCCTGAAATTCCAGCTCACAGAAAAATTTTATTGCTTGGGGAAGGAAAATTTATTTTGTATTTGAGTGTAAACTTATTATTTGATAATAATATTGACTTATTCATTATTATCAGTCGAGGTTGAACCAATGCCTTTGCGCTAGTGGATCTGTTGATTATGCGTATAATGTAAGGATGCTGTAGCAGGAATAAAAATACCTTATTATGCATTTTAAGAGTCTTGCTACACTAACATAAATGTATTTATGTAACTATTCATCTGACCAAGGTCAGACTTTCCGATTGCAAGTTTCACATTACCAGTTATCTATCTATCAACAATTATTGAACAGCAAACTAAAATGGAGCTTTTGTGCATAGTGCAGGGACAGTAGAGAGACGACTTTACACAGAACTTCATGGTGAATAAAGTTTGAAATAATTGAAAGTTATTGCCTTCCGGCGATAACAACAATTTTCAACCACTATAAATTCAAAACCAATTGCAGAATTGGGTCTAGTACACCGATTCTCAACCGGTGGGCGATGGCCCACTGATGTGGTCTAGTAAACGCCATGACTGCTTAAATAACGTCTAACAAAAATGTTATGTGAAATGAACGTCGTAACTGCTCAAATAACACCCAACGAAAATGTGATGTGAAATTTTAATGTAAAATGATCGAAATTAAACCCTTATTGTCTTGAAACGTCGCCGTCTAAAATGCGAGAAGCTGGACAACTCATCTGTCCTATCATGAGTCGAGTTGTCCGCCTTCCGTTTCTTCCATGCATTTACAGATTTAGCGTATTGTGTTCGCGCAAGACGGGGTTGTATTTTCACATCACGTTTTTGTTTGGCATTATTGGAGCACCAACCGCTTACGGCATTCCTTTCCCAGTTTCCCCAAGCAGCCAAGAGAAACATGCAAAACCATCTTATCCTATTATAGCTGCATCTATATCCAGTACCGGTACCAGTATCTGAGTACCCGTATTTAACTATATATTTCAGTATTTAGATATACGGCAACATATATTTCAGTATTTATATACGGCACCGGTACCGGTACCGTTTTTTGCGTCACCGTTCACCGTGAAATGTTATATTCAACTTTTTTTTCTAATTTTTGTTCACAGTAAGCTGGTAAGTGCATTTTCAATTTGGTGAAAGATAAACTACTGACTGAACGAAGCCCCCACTACATAATATATTTTAGCATAGCTGCAACTTTTCCAGTCGTGGCGCCATTGCTGTAAATATAGTAACAAATTCATGAAGGGAGAGAGAGAGAGAGAAGCGAAATGACAGCATCGGTTATACTCGATTACGATGCGATTATTCTGGTCAGTCACACTTCACCGATGTTATCACGGAGAAAAATTACAAGTTCAGGAAATTTTACCGAATGTCATACCAGCATGTGTATTCGAATGGTAGAATCATGGTTAACTGAATATAGTTAGCATTATTCGCTATTTGATTAAGTTATATCTTGTATTGTTTGAAGAAGTTAGACCATGATCTAACGAAAGCTCACAAATATACTTACTATTTCATTGAAAGAGATCATGTTATTTTTACTTATCACTTTAATACTATCTCGTTCAAGCATCCTTGTGGTGAGTACCACATACGGATCCGAAGTAGAAAGTAAACAAGGAGAAAGGACCTGCAGTTCAATACACAATATCCAAGTTCCCTTAGTATTAAATATAATTAGCTCACGCTTTTTTTCGTCTTCATTTATTTATGTTACACTGTTTTCTCGTTACGCTTGAGCGATGCGTCATGGTATTCCTGGTGCGTGCGGTCCTCGGCTATCGGTGATGAACTTATGACAGTATAAGTAGGATATTTTTAGAGAAAATTATGGAACGATTCAAGTTTGGAAAAAAACTTTATATCTATGATAAAAACACTGTATAGCAAAACTAACGCTGCTATTCTCACGAATGGATAGTTACTGACTTAGCAGAGTAATTTAGGATTGGAAGACTGTAAGTGTAAGAGAATTGGAACACCGATTACTGGATTAATAATGAAAATCACAGATTTTATTTTGCGACCTTTAAAGCGAAACCAACTATTTGGAATTGGTGGGATTACCGTACGCCAGTTTATTTGTGTTTCCCTTACATTATTACATGTAACACCCTAATCAACTCGCTCATGCGTGTAACCTTTTTTCCCGTCGCACTCTTCGAGCGCGTGATGCTATTTCTAATCATTCTATGTTAAGATGTCTTAAGAGTCTGTTGTTGTTTACATTTAACATTATTTGTCACTAAGGACTTGTGTGTTGTATTCGGGGTGAAGGATTGTGGCAGGATCCATTAATATACGTCCATATTGGCGTGGTGGCAGCGATACGGAGAGAATCTATTGCCTTCAATATTCGGCTAATGCCCGAAGATATCAATAAAGTAATTCATCTATCCTGAAACGGGCGAATAAAACGATAGTCCATATTAGTTACTACAATGGCGTCAACAAAGGCACCAAAACAATGGTGCTTGACTACGAACGAAACAATAAATTCTTTCGAAAGTTGGCGCCAAAACCTATTATATACTTTGTCGCTGGACAGCAATTTCAGTCTATTTCTCAAGCCAGAATAAAATGGGGAAAGAAATCCAAATTCACCCCTATGAGAGGTTTTGAAGACGACGCGGAATCTGTTCCAACACAATCAGCAATTCAAAAACTTACATCGCTGGAATTGATGCTCGGGCAAAATGCTAATTATTGTCCTGTAATTGCCAGAAATACAATTGTAAACCACTCAACTTGTCTGGAAAATATTTGGCAATCACTACGTCTGCATTTTGGATTTCAATCTACTGGAGCTCATTGTCTTGACTTAGTCGATATTAAGTTAGAACACGATGAAAGACCAGAGGATTTATTCCAACGGCTGACAGCGTTCTTTGATGATAATCCGCTGAAACAATCGGGCAATGTGTCTCATTAGGAATTGAACATTTCAGAAGACGAGGAAATTTCTCCAACAATTGAAAATATGATTGTGTTGCAATGGCTTTGCCTAATCCACAACGATTTACCACAACTCGTCAAACTGAGATATGATACTGAATTGAGATCTCGCACTTTGGCTTCTATAAAACCGGAAATCTCTCTTGCCCTTGACTCACTGGTGAACGAACTCAATTGCAGAGATGAATCCAGAGTTTTACGTTCCATAACTCACAAGTCTCAATACACTATTAGGCCGCGAGCCGAGGCCCTGAAAAACGCCTAGAAAGTGAGTTTCGTAGCGCACATCAGGTAACTACCTGAAAATGATTTTAAAATGTTTCTTAAAAATTTAGTAACAAATATTGCCTTGTTCCCACTTCCAAAAGTTGCACGTTTTACGGAAAAGACTCTTCTACTACAAGAAATATGTGCTACGATCTGTCCTATATTCTCTACATTTTCGGCAAGGAACAATGACTTCAGCATGACGTAACAATTGAATTAAACCAGCTGTTAGCGAGCGGATGAATATTAGTTATTACTGCTTGACCTTGCGCTGAGTTGGGCAGGCTTTCCATAGCCCTGTTTAGTTATTATTAGTTAAGTTATGCTAAGACGTTGTTGAAAAATGTATAAGTAAGTTATTAAACACTTGTAGATCCTTACCACGGATATGGGCCGTGAGACGAAGCCATGAAAACGCCCAGAAAATGAGTTTCGTACCGCACATCTGGTAACTAAATAAATTCTTCAGTTTTGTGTGAAAACGAACATAATGAACGCATTACAGCTTGTTCCACAATCCTGGTGCGAAATTGAATATAAGAGGTTCCCGGAAATTCAATAACCATAAGTTTACAACACATACATAAGAACTATGCAATTCGAGAGCCCTACAGCACACTAACACAAATGTATTCCTGTAATGTTTTGCCTGACCAAAATCGGACTTCCTCAGTCAATCATAATTTATTAGGTAGATTACGAAATATATGGCATACATGTAACCAACAACAAAAAATACTTTAATTGTGTGACAGGAATCGGGAGTGACCTCTAAAGCAGCGACACCAACAACGCTGATTCACATAAATAAATTTTATGTAATAACCACAAGCAGTTTACAACAAGAACAGCATAGAAAGCTACATCCATTTTATAGAAGCTATCAAACGTATTTATTTTTAAGCAATGAAGTCACAAATTAACATCGTGAGCACGAAAACACAAATAAATCAGTTATTTCTCACTTGGAAATTTACCGCAAAAGTCAAGAAAATTAACATAATGTACATAACATAGTGAACAGAAATATTACAATTTACAATTAATCTTTTTTTAGTTTATGTGGTTATGTATTTGAACAAAGGCAATAATATTTCTAGAAACAGGACTACGACACTAACAAATGTCCAAAAAACAAAACAAATAAATGATACTTATTAAATCAACAGTAATATCTAATTCACTTTCTTCTGAATTGTTTTCGAAATCCACTCAAAATCCAAATCTCAAAAATCGACTTTTCCTCTATAAGTGTACTGTGATTTTTGCAGTCAATACAAAAACAAAAATCTGTGCAATTTAAGTTGATTTTGGCACACTTTCATAAATTATTTTGACTATTTTTCTTACACTTGCAGTTTGCCAACTCAAGAACTGATTTGAGGGCCACATGCTTCTTCAGTGAATCATTGTTGGGTGGAGAGTACAATCCTTATGTTTGACAGTGTTAAATAGACGTGCCCTGATATCATTTACATTCTTCATATCCTCTTCAAATTCCTCAGCTTTATTTATTAATGCCTCGTTAACTTCAAAAGATCTTCATAGTCGAGGGAAAAAAATGAATTGAAAATCTCAATGAAGTCTCCAACATGAATTTGATGGGCAGTTCCAATTGCAGAAAAGTGTTAAAGTATTTCAATATGAATAGCCCATCTAAGCTGTTTGCAACTATTATGATTCT